CTGTATGTTCTGCTGCTTGTAATACCTTTTCGTGAGTTAATCCCTATAGAAATTTATGATGAAAATAGACATTGGTCAACTGAGTAGATCTGACATTGTCCGCGAAATATCAAAATGGCAAAAATGGCAACCGTGAGTAGATTTCGGACACTTGTTAACAAAGTTCCATAATAAGACTTACATGCATCGTTCGGTCCTAATGTAAGATCATATGTCTTGAGGAAAGCTTACTGAAAGCGTCTGTCGAAGATCGGGCGAATATTAGCGTTAAAACACTTCCACAAGAAAATATTCGTACTCCGATGAAGGCGATCTACTCCATTCACGGGACATAACTGATTTGAAGATTTAAATGAAGACAGGGTTTGCCTTTGTCAGTTCCGATCCATAATTTGTGGCACTTTAAGAAGCTAATAAGAGATAGAGCAGTTGCAATTTGCAGCAAATTACATTGCGTTTTAGTATAGCAGAACTGCTCAAGTGATTGCTTGTTTGAACTTGAGTGTTGCATGAATTGGGTTAGTTTGATCTTGATGCAGAACATGGCCCAAGAAATACAAATTGTACGCAACATGTGCACACCTTCCAACAGTTCGCTTGCCCGCGGGACAGACACAGTAGTAATCTTTGACAGTGTCCATGCCACGTCAACACCATACCATTCCGGGTGGATGCTCTACTACAGTAGCCCAAATCAACCAACCGTACGCGCACGTAGCGTTACCAAAAAAAAATATATAATTAATATATATAATTTTTGTCGAGATATTTGCATCATTGTCATTGCCATAAAAAGGCCAACTAGTGTCTGGTATATAACCATCTGGAAAGACAATGTTTATGAATTCAACATAGTTGCGCGTCTTTTTCCCACAGTATGAGAATATTTGAAGGGGGTGATCAGCACTTTTTTGGACATAAATATAGGTACCATCAAGGATTACAGGTACTTTATTCCCGTAGAAACATCTTGTAAAGGCAGTATTGTGGCACTTAGCGTCCTCGCGGATGATATGGCATGGACCAAGGAAACGGGGCACAATAGTCTGGCCAAGGCTTTTAAGATACTATGAAATGTGTGAGACACATACCGTTTTTTGGCAGACCACACAAGACACCAAGTTGAGACCATGACATATTGGTTTTCTGTTTAACCCAGAAAAGAAACAAAGCTTGGAATGAAGAAGAAAACGATCCTCTATTAATGTGTGAGGAGCAAATGCTATGGATTTGCTGCATTTGTTCAAGTGTGTAACCAGTCCATGCTTTGAATTCTTCATTTTTGCGATGGTCTACATCTATGCCTGTGTTGGTTGGAGTACCGGCAGAAAGGAAATGGCTTAGTTCAAGAAGGTCATTGATAACCTGTTTAGCTCTTTCTTAAAGATGAAGAGCTAAAGGTTCCCTTGTTTGCACATTCTAGTGGCAAAGATGGATTCACAAAGTCACCAATTACATGTTTATTGCAAACACGAGCATCAAGGTGACACACACCATAGAAAATGAAAATAAATATCAAGTTTGTCCTTGTAAGCTGGGTATAGTGCATAACCCAATGCTCTCTTTTCCACATATGACATATCTTTTATGTGAATTCCACCATAAATATGATTTCTCAACAAACAGATATTATTGGTAGTTGGTTGGATGACATGAAGTCAGTTTAAGCATCATCTGCATCATTCGCCAGCCAGAAGGTTCATACAATTCAGACTGCAATGACCATTGCTTGTGGTACCGCTTGTAGCACTTTCCAAATGATATGCTTTCTTCTGTTATGCTAATTATCTCAGCAGTCAACAGCTGGTGCAGCCAGTTATACCATGTTATTCTTGAGCCCAGGCTTTTGGTTTTGCAACCACGACCTATGCACACGTCTGACATGATTATTAAGTAAACTTGATGGGAGATTTGCAGTAATTTGAATTTAATACAGAATATCTGACATAAGTGTAACCTTGTCTATGTAATTGTCTATAGATACTTAGCAAAAATGGTATGAATAATTTATAGCAATACCTTTATATGTTTCAGGAAATCAACATACTTGCACATTCAGGTGTCAGACGAGGTTATCATTTCTGGCCTCATTTATTAATTATCAATTAGAATATTTAACTGATTTATATCCATTATTGTTATGTTTAATGATGAACGAAGAAAGCTGACGATAACATGTTATCAGTAATACTGCTTATTTAATCACTGTTAATTTGTTTTAATACAAATTAAACTGTCAGTTGTTCTTTAGAAGATAGATTTCTAGTGCAGAAAACACCATGCTAAGTTATACCTACTGAATTTCATTTTAAAACAATACAAAATACTTAATGTGCTGTGGTACTACACAAAACTGAAAAATATAGCAGTATTTGGCACAAAAAGCAACGAAAATGAAATTTTCATGATTATTGCAAATTATACAATAAGAATGTTTTAAATTGATAAAAACATATTTTACCGGTTTTGATATCACTTAAAATGTATTCAATAGGGAAGTTTTTAAAGAAGTATGAAATATAGACTGAGATTGCAACTATACAAAATGAACTTGACAAACTTTGATATATTCTTTATTTTGTGAAAATTTTGCATTTTTATCTAAATTAAAGTTATCAATATGCTTACAATTTTCATGTCAATATAACATGTGGTATCAAAAAAGACATTTTATGTACTTAAGACTGGTATATGAATATTTTCATTCAAAATTCTCATGTAGCAAGTATTTGTCATTATGTCAGGGCACCTTTGTCACTCAACCTGGTATTATACAACGAGGTCCAGTAGTTATAATGACTAATCATTTATGCGCTTGTAGCTTACTTTCATGTATCTACATATGGCGAAAAAATAACAGAAATCTATGTGGGGGTCAAATGTTTACCCCACCTTTAATCAATAGGGGATATCTTTCTGCAACTGGGCTAAGCACTTGTACACAACACACTGGAATAACTTCAAATCTAACCAATAAAAAAAACCTTCAGTGCAGATTGTGTTTGAGTTATGGCCCAGAGGCTATAAGACAGGGTTCCGTTATGTGGGAGAAGACAATATAGGACATCGAGCCCTGCCCGTCTCAATGAAATACAGGTATGCTAGATATATGTACCTTGCCAGACGACTACGGATAATAAATCGTCGACATTTATAATTTCAAGCAATACCATTCAATGTAATTTAAAGGTAACACATTGAATAAGATAAATTTGATGATAACTACTTAATGTTGCACCGTCGCATCGCCTTCTGTTAAAATTATTGCACAAAAGACAAGTAAATGAATCCTGAATATATATGCTATTTCAAAATAACAACAGGAACCACATGTGATTCAAACTCAAAATCGAAAAGAGCGCAAAAAACACAATTAGAATCTTCTGCTTCATCGACGTTATACTCTATGTAAATGTAGGTAAATTTCCAGTAATATCGCGACATAAAACTGAGATTCTGATATGATATACATTAACAAAATCAACAGATGTTCTAACAAGTGACAAACACTGTTTTCAAATGAGATCAGGGCATTGACTGGAATACGATCCTTTATCCTTCAACATCAGACATCTTTCGATATTTTGTGTGGTTGAAATAAAATAGTGACATGCTTTTTTTTATATTGAAAAACAAAACATTAGATCAAGTCCATTAATTTCTATATTTCTTTCTGGTTATTTACAAGGTCTTTAAAAATCATATACCCGAAAATGCCATATCAGTACCTACTAGGAAAACTTAGACGAATTGACGTTTCCTTCTCTATATCAGGTACGTAGTTTTGTATGTTAAATACATGGATGAAAACATCGTCAATACATCGATGCGTGAATGCTAGATACCATATTATTATGTTTGTTGATTATAATATCATATTCGTCCTTTCATAAACAATTTCAGTTCTGTAAACAACGCTTATTTTGGTTTCAGGTGGCAAATATAAAACAGACCACCTTCACATATTAGTGTTGTTTCTTATCTATATCCTTACATTCATCCCTATCGATTTAGATTTTACATGATGCCTTCTAAATCAATGACGAATCCTGGAAAGACGAAATAGCTGTATGATACAGTTTAATAAACTGTTTAATGTACAAAAGCTAGAATAAACGCCCATGTGCACATGATAATATTCCAAACTAAATTTCAATAAAATTGGAACAAAATAAAAACAAAAGAAGGATTTACACGGAGACCCTCGAAAAGTTGAAAAAAAAACCAAACACCCCTCCCCCTCCACAAAAAAAAAAAAAAAAAAAACACAGAACAGGTGTACCTAAGAGTAAGCCTCTTCTGCTTCATCGACGGCACCCTCCATGTAAATGTCTGTTTTTTACTCTTGTACATTTAGTTTTCATGGAATAAGATAATTCGCAAAATATATTTAAACACTTTTCTCGCTTTGCGTGACATTTTCATTAATCTATGTTGTTAATTCATGCCCTTTGTATAATCCTTTGTAAATGCGAAAAGTAAGGTGGTGCAGTGATTACGCACTCACCTTCCGCCCAGCCGTTCGCGGTTTGAGTCCGAAAACGGATGTGAACGGTTTTCCCTGGTTAATGCGGTTTCCTTAACAAGAGTGATTGATAAAAGTATGAAGAATGTTTTGCAGCTGTTGTCAAATCATTACAATTTATATCTATGTTGATGTGTTGTTGACGATAATAAGTCAACCATGAAGTATTTGTTCGTACAACATTGTGAATACAGCGCCCTCTCTTGGGCTTGTCAAAGGAAATTTCTATGCAATTGTACTTCTACGGTAAATTCTCTCCGAATGTGAACTTTGTATAAGGTTATTTAGATGAGATAAACCATGAGATATAGAGCATGAATTCATGAATGTGACATCTGTGAGGGATATTGTTGCAAGCCACATCAGTCAGTATGTGTAAAATATTGAGGTTGATGTCCTAGGTCATATGTACTTTTTAAATGTCTAGTGTGCTCCCATACTGTGTTGGAGAACAATTCATTCATATAACAGCAGCATGGAGGAGACGAACGAGATCGTCGTGAGTATGGCCGAGCTGGACCGGTTTGTTGTCTGTTGTATGATGGCCAGCGGGGCCACCGAGGAGAGCGCACGGGTTATGTCTGACCTGCTCGTTACCGCGGATTACCGTGGACACTACACTCATGGACTATGTCGTACAGGTAACTTTAAAAATCTCCTATACATTAAACAACCATTCGGATTAACGTTATACATACATCAAGCAGCTCCGTAAATCTTGACGCATAATACCGGCTCATCTACAAGCAATCAGTATAGTGATGTTTTAAAGATAATGATTTTGTAGAAAATGACTTAACGCTGATTCAGAACTATTGATGTAAGCGTTACATATTGTATCTCATTTTCACTTAACATATTAAAAATGGAATAGAGCTCGAAAATTTGTAATCTTACCTGATATGGAGTTAATTGAACTCATCAGAGACGGCGTTTTAGTTCACATCTACCTTCTAGCATTATAACTCTCAGTTAATTGTAGTTGTCTTGGAAAGGTTAGATATGTGTAATTCCCGCTTAAATGAGAAATGCAAATATATAGACTTGACACGTGTATAGAAGAATATATTACAAGATATCAGGGGAAAATGTGATCATTTCTAGTAAGCAGGTGATACAATGTCCGTCTAGGAGTATCCAAATGGTCGTCAATTTGCGTTTACAAACCTGCTATCTTAATTTACCTTATAAATAAAGTTAGATATCGGAGGTGTGAATTTCATTATAACGCCTTCGGGAGGTAGCGATAATAATAATATGTACTGATATTTATAGATGTGTACACGGCAGACGTAAAGAATGGAGTTACCTGTGGAGGTGGAAAGGAGCCGACTATTATCAAGGAAACCATGGCAACAGCACTTATCGATGGCAACAATCTATTGGGTATTTTAGTTATTATACTAGTAATTATTGATTTACCTATTTAGTAAAAAAAAATAAACTAAGACAAAGATACTTACTGTTATCTTTAGTTTCACAAGAACTTACTCATTGCTTTTTTTACATTTAAAATAGCTGATCATTTAAATATGAAATGTGGAATTTATTATAGAAGTATTCACAATGATAGAAATGATAATTGATTTTTTTATATATGTCTGAGCGACAGATGCATACATAGACGCAAATCCAAAGCATGTTATAAAGGGGTTGTTTGTCTTCAGGTCCGGTAGTAGGAAAATATGCGATGGACGTAGCTATTCAGAAGGCTAAAACGGCCGGTGTTGGCATCGTCACTGTCAGAGGTAAGGATATTGACATATGCAGCTTATCAAAAATCATCAGTGGTCACTTAAGCTTAATTTTCAAATTATATACAGGTTCTCAATAACCATTATATCATCATACTGTAGATGGTGACTTCATGAAAGTCTTTAAGAAGGTATCTTAGGGCATTGTTACTAAAGGAAATGTTTCTCCGCGAAATATCAAAGAAATAGATGTATGAAATTTTGAAACAGAATTCAATTTTTAAAATGTCGATACAGATAGTAAAGTGAAGAAATCTGAAAAGGTGACGTCTTTTATAAAGGGTCAACTGAAGAAGAAAATAAAACTTGAGCTTTTTTAGGTAGGGTAAAAAACGTCGATTAAGAATCTCGCAAACCGGACGTAAGACGTATTTAAAAAAAATCTTAAAACGATGTTTGTACTACGCAATGTTTGTTTAAACTAAAATAAAGGATCTTTTATTTCAACATTTATCAAATCTTTGTTAATGATCAAACGTTTTGTATTCATTTTTATCTCGAGGTAATATCTATTCATTTGCGTACAGGTTCCAACCATTTTGGGATAGCTGGTTGGTATAGTCTCCGAGCAACAGAGCAAGGCCTTCTGGTAAGTAGAGTGGACTTTTTATTGCTTTAAATGTATCAACTGCTTATGGTTTTGTTGAACTTTGAGTTCATCATTTCTCTTTTTTCAATGACCTGTCAATATAAAGACTATACATGATTCTATTTAATCTAATCTTCAATAGCTGTATTCATAGATTTCCGTAAAAGATACACTGACAAGAAATATACCTATTGGTATATAGTTTTGATTGGTAGCTGGTACTGCTGAGAAAACGGATATTGCACGGTTAATGTGTAATTAATCTCCTCGAACGTAACGTATTGAATGGAATCTTAAATCCTTTACTGGAAGTTTGAGTATTTGGTTTTAACAAAACACAAAATGTTCGTATGTTTTGTACAGTATTTCCTTGTAAGCCATATTTGTGTTTCAGGGTATATCAATGACGAATTCCGACAAAGTAATGATACCTACACGGGCGAAATCAGTAAGATCTTTCTTTACAATACTGAAATATAATGCATATTGAGCATTGGTATACACTAAAAAATAAGTACATTTTAGGAACTGGCTATATGGTCTGTCTTTTGTGCGACATAGTTTATCTATTTCCTATCGCTTACATGATATCAAAATAATATTGACAAAAAGTTATCCGGTCGAAAATATAAATAAATAGCTAAACATTATTTATAATGTATAATGCAGAGGTCTCTTGGCACGAATCCCATCAGCATGACAGCCCCTGGTAAGGATAGAGACAACTTCGCACTGGACATGGCTTGCACCACTGTAGCATGGGGAAAGGTAATGTAATAAATGTCATAACATTAATATCAGTCTCAGTCAAAGATAATGTCAAAAATAGGTCTTTATAAGTTTTGGTACATGGTCTTCCGAAAAGTGACTTATAAACTCTATAGTCTTGTTGTTATTGAACAGATAGCTTCCATTCATGGCCGGAAGAGTTGACTAACCTGAGCGTCAAATTAAATTGTTTATTTGTTCTTTAAGTAAAAGCACTATAGCACTCCGCATCCTCCTCTCTCCGGTCTGAGTTTGTCCATACTTCTTTGTCATTTATTGTGTTTACGACCGAAAAGCTTGAAATGAAGGCGATGAAAGGCGAGATGCTACCAAACGGATGGGCTTTAGATAAAGATGGAAAGGTAAGTAGAATACTTGATTACTGAAGTTTTTTACAACAGTAGGAACAACAAAACTGTAATCTCCATAGGCTTCCTTTTTGTTTTCCGCTTCCACATTAATAAAATGCCTTTTTCGGATAACGTTACTTCCGTGATGTTTTTTAAACTTCCGTTTTCGTGATTTAGAATGTATTCAGAAGTTGAGACGATATTCAGTTATTTGCAATCAACCCTCAGATCATTTCAACAGGGAGCTATCGGCGTAGATATTTTGCAGTAAATTAGCATTAGTAATAAAATGTCACTTTGTTTGCCGTTGTCAAGGAAACATGTGATATATCAGCTGTGGGAGGATTGCAGCCATTAGGAGGTGCTGAAGAGAGCAGTAAGTTAGCTAAGTTATCAGTTATTTTGGAAATATACCATTTGTAGAGAGATATCATGCGATAGAAATGATCAAACGTTAATCATATATTTAAACATTTATGTATAGGTGTGCGGTGTTTAAACGTTTTGTAACGTAACTCGTATTCTGAATTTGGATTTAATGGTCTTCTCATTTGATGTGTACACTTTTAGGGATTGCTGATGTAGACACTGCTGGTAGTCGTAACCTGTATGCCATGTTTGATTCATTCACATGTTCTTGAAATCATTTTTAAATAATCAGAAATGTAAAAGATGATAAATTACTGAAAGGTGCTGTTCACTTGTGTGTCTTTGATACCTATATACTTATCACTGTTTTTTTTTTCATTAGCCACCGTCTGTTTACAAGAGTATAGAATGTCAAACACATTTAAAGATCCCCAGTGAAGTCCAGTCCTCTACATATGAGGCAGCCTTCTATGGTTTTGATTACTGACAGCTGCTATCTAAGTTACCAATGTTATATATATATATATATATGGTATTCCAGTCTTCATAACAGACGAAAAGACCTATAGATAGATGATATATTTCGTTGATAAAATATTTCAAAATGTTAAAACTTTTCTACTTTTCCTTATTTCCTACCGGAAGAAGTTTATTTTTACGTAGATCTCAAAATCCTATTATCATTTACAGGGATTCGTTTGTTATCGAATAATAAGTCAGAATTAGTATTTCATAACCATTATCATACAGTCACTTAAATACTGTAATGGGCTCATTTTATTTTACTTGAATGCAAAATTTTTGTTCGAAACAAGTATACTATAAACTGTTACTTATTGTATCAATGTTGTTTGGTTAAACATGAATTACGTAATTTTAGAGATTGCTGATGGTAGATGCTGCTGGTGGTCCTCTAGATATAAAACAAAAATTTAAATGATGTATTTCGTCGACGAAGCAAAGGACTATTCTATTCCGGAACGCTTGGTCTTATTTTCTTTGTTTTGTCGTAGGATTTTCATATCTTGCCCTAGTTTTATTAAGATTGAGTTGGATTGTGATTATGTTGTCATGATGTTATTTTCTTGTTTTTGTGTCAAGGTGGTTACAAAGGTTACGGCATGGCGATGATGATAGAAGTTCTCACCAGTGTGTTGTCTGGGGCAGAGATGTGTGCGTTTGTTAGGAAATGGAAAACATATGATAAACCGGCAAACTTGGTAAGTTCAGAATGATGTTTTAACAAAACAATAATGGCTGTAACAATGTAAATTTCATTTAAGTCATTATTTGGAAATGTCCTTGTTAAATGATGGCTGGCTAATTTGCGGTTGGTTACAGGGTTTTACGTCTCCGCAACTCTCAATGATGATTATGCAGCCATTTTAATAGAGTCCACGTCATCGACATACAGTCATGTAAATGAGTTTTTGATATCCAGTCTTTTTTACACAAAATAACCTAATGATTCACAGGTTTGGTTTCGTTTAAAATCAAAATTCAGTGTTACTTTTGTATTCATGTATCCTAACCTTATATATCAATCCTATTTTAGGGTCAATGTTTCATAGCCATAGATCCTGGAGCATTTGCAGACGGTTTCACGGACAGAATGCAGAACCTAATGGACCACAATCGGAATCTCGAACCGGTATACACTTTACTTGTACATGAAATTATTTAATTTACAGATTAATTTATTTATCATGTTATTTAACATATGTCTAAAATATCCATGACATTAGTGAATCAAACCCATTCGATATTTTCTTCGATGCATAAACGAACTCCAAAAAAGTACCAACATGGCAACATAATCATATTTCAAACTAAAATTCCATAAAGCTAAGATTTAAATGGAGATTCCTTTAAAATGTGCAAGGAAAATAAGAACAGGCGTTCCGGAAGAGTAAGCATCCTCTGCTTTATCGACACCCGCCATGTAAACCTTGGTCAATCGAAGTTAATGATGCTACGTTCTCAAATTAGAATAAGGTATACAACAACGGCAACAGGCGAACTAGCGAGCATCAAATACGCACAGATTCATGTCACACAAAGCAAATGAAATCACCATGTAAAAAATTCAAAAGAGCCATCGTTGTTGAATTCATATAAAACGAAGTTGGTCATTGTATTAGACAATCTATATAAATAAGTAAGGATATTCTAATATGTGTTTATCTAAGATGTATAAAGGATTATAATACGACAATTCTAATATAATTTGAAAAAGAAAGCAAATTTGCTGTTGTTATTTTTCACGAATGGTTATCAGGTATTTACAACATACGCGTGATGTAAATTTTTAGATGGAAGCTGGACGGAATGTTTTTGTGGCCGGAGATCCAGAACGACAACACATGGCACTATGTGATAAGTTAAAGGGCATTCCGTACCACCCGAACCAGATAAAATTTCTGGTATTTAAATCTTATTCATTTATATTTTGAAAGTCATCAATAAACATATTTAATTATATTTACATGTGATCGATATCCTCGGCTATCATATATACTTGTATATCTTCAATCCTATTATATGAAATCACATCATTAAACTGTAGCACATGTTAGTATAGTATAACTAAAGTCAAATTTAAAATAGAGACCAGCCATTACCTGATTTTATTGAACATAATGTGAACAGTATGACAGTGATATAATGTTTCTTTTCTATTTGTCTGTACAGGATGAAATCGCAAAACGTCTAGGCGTGGAACCTTTAAAACACTTAATGTATAACACCTGATAGCATGGACACAATGTTGATCATACTTGTAGTGTTCAAAATTCATGTATGAATAGATATTCTTTATGTTTAATCAGTGTTGCGAGTACTAGTAACATATTCGATTGTGCATTTTTATCTTGTACATGTGTATTCCTTTTTGTTTTGTCTGTTTTTTCGAATTTTTCTCTCTGTTGAATATTTATCAATAAATATCTAAATAAATTGTGCGTTTCTTTTCTATTAATTATGTCGTTGATTTAGACACAGATTCTGTTTGTACAGTTATTTTACGCTTCTGTGTGCCAATCCATGGCCAGCAAATGTTGACGGAGTAAAAACATTTATTATATATATCAGTACACTAAAGTAAAAGTGATACAAATGTGTAATGTTTTCTTGACAAATAATAAAACGCCTTAGATTTGAGATTTTGAAAGTAAATACATCAGTTGCTGATCAAATAGAGCATGAAAAATTTTTTGGCATTTCAGCGATAGTTTGCAATATTGAAAAGAACGGATTTTAAATTGTTTTGTATGTGATGGGGGTTGTTTTTCCTCAGTCTCTGTCCCCTTCCTTTTTTCAGTGGAAAATAGCTAAGATTATTGTCATAATAGTGGCACTAATATTGAATGACGATTATTATAATTTCATTTCGAAATAATCTATACCATTGTGTATAAGAAGTAGGACGTATTAAATGCACATTCATATGCTTAATAGCCCCGTTGTCTTGATAAAACAATGGTTATTGCCCCTTACCACCTGGTCTTATTCTCCTTGTACGTTTTCTTGGGTTCTCTTGTAGATCTTCCTTTTATTTTTATTTTGCTCTCGTTTTTATAGAATTTGAGTTTGAATTAAGCTTCATTTGACAAGTAGATATTTTCTTTATTGTTCTTTGTTTATGTGTAATTGTCAATATCAGGTATTCGGAATTTCATTTGTAATTTTTCATGAGAGATGTAAACGATACTCGGTGAAACTTGAGAAATGCTCACTAGTGGCCTTATTAGCTGAAAGATCTGAACAGCAAATATCTATGGTCTTGCTAGTGAAGCATACGACTGCGATACACACAAGTTTTCCCTTCTTCTTTTTCTAAGAAGCTAGGCTACATTTGTGTATTTTTCAAAAGCTATATATTTTACATGGAGTAGCGTTTGCTGTAATTTATGTAGATAGGTTCAGCGAGTGCTATCTCTGGTGATGCCACCGCCTGTACTCTGACGTGTCGGGTAATCATTTGGTCTACAAAGTAATCTATTGCATATCTACTGAGGCACGATGGCGGCCGCCGCTTCAGGTATCAGAGAAGAAATACGATGATACGATGTTTGACGACTGCTGGTGCTGAGGAAGACATTTGCGGACTGTTTGATAACTGCTGATTACAGAGGACACTACAGTCATGGTGTAAACAGACTAGGTAAGGATATGTATCAAACTGCGATAATTCAATATCGTATGTGGGTCATACCGACTTCCAGCATTGTTAGCTGGAACGAAATCCGCTCTAGCTTTTGTTTTATCTATACATACACTTTATGGCATGGTGAAATGTGTGCTTGATACATTCTAACACTCTAACTGCCCGTGAAATACGCAAAAATAGTTGGTTTTCCGTACTCAATAATGTTTTTACTAACAGTGACTGTGCTTTGGCAAATGATAGAGAAATACAAAATGTTTCTTAAAAGGATGATTCCTTAGACTACTCTCATAATCTCGAATGAAAAGGAACCTTGATGCATGTACAACTATATGTCATGATTTTAGAGTATGCCAAGTAACTTGTAGCCATAACCTGCGGAGGCAGGATTGTTGTACTTATTTCAGGTACGGTATCACTATAGTTTTTTATATATAGAAGGAAAAAGACGGTCTTTGCGAAACTGCATTGTATGAAGCACCAACGACATTTTATATTATTTTGTTTAAGTAAAACTCCTGTATCATATTCATGCACATTGTATGTTTTGTTTTATTTTGATTTTTTCTTTATCACAACGATAGATACAAATACGTTCTTCTTAGTGGCTAACTACGTATTAAGTTTATCATTTTACTCGGGACATGGATAACAAATCTTGAAAATTTACAGACCTATGCTTAATGACGAAAACATTATTTTAAGTATCGTTCCATAGGTCTAGAATTGTACGAAGGATTTAGTTAAACGCAAAGGTGATCGATTCAAGATATCTTTAGAATATTATCTTTAGTATATAATCAGCTGGCAATAAATTTTAACCTTTTTCAATATATGCTAAATAATACTTCGGAATGAAAGAAGAAACTTGTATTTTGTGCTTTGAAAGAGACCATAAAAAGCATGAACAGTTATCGTCATCGTGTGTACTTTATTTTTCTTTCTTTTTTTCTTTTTTCTTTCAACGGAAAAAAGGATTATCAATTATATGAAAAATACAACATTAGGACAGGTGAACTTTCCAATGTAGATTTGGTTATTTCGTTCATTTTTTCCCAATCGTCTTCTAGGTTTCAAAATTTTGGTCCCTAGCACCACAGTCTAGTCATAAAAGGACGAAAGAGCCGTTTGATGCATTCCAATTAATTATTTGGCATAACGGTATCTAATTCTAAATCTGTATTAAAACATGCTGTTGTGACATCTGTACATTGCTTGATTTTATCCTTCTTTGTCAGAATTTTACATCGAGGAACTTAAAAGGGGTATACTCTGCGGAGGAAAAGGAATAGAACCAACAATTACGAAACAGAACTTAAATACAGCCCTTGTCAATGTTAACAACTTGTTTGGTACGTGTTGACGTCATTTATTCATAATGGAACAAATGCTTTTTCTCTATTACAACCATTTCACAGAATTATGAATCGGTCAAAGACCGAAAGTAAAGAAGAAAACTCTCTGACAAGTATTTTAAACATCATCTGATAATACATTTTCATCGTTATTGTAGATAAAATTCTGCTTATACTTCATAAGATTATTTCAATTATGTTTATTTCCCCTTGCTCTTTATTAAAACTTGATAATTGCATAATATTCTATTCCTTTTTTAAGTGGAGAGTTATGCAGTTGTTCAATAAACAAGAGATAGAAGATAATTGTGTTATCATTCTGGTCTCAAGATTCATAAAAATGGTCAATTATACCGCATTTTTTGATAAACACACGGATAGTGTGGTATTACATTAATATACAATTTGCCCTACAGCCAGTGGAACCAATGACCGTATGTAATCAACTATTGACAATTTTTACATTTACAGAGGATGACATTTTGTTGGCAACTAACAAATTTATAACACAGCGTTACAAGAAATGTAGTTTGCCAAAAACAATTGATCGTCATAATTATCTAATTTGGAAATATTCTTTTTTCATTATGAGATATGAAGTTGGACGTATTTGATGATCGCAAGTATATCCGTTGGTTGTTTAACATGCTCTCGTTTGGGATATGACATTACTTACTTGAATTGATCAAGATTAACACGCCGGGTGCCTGTCTCCTTGTAAATCTTTCTGTTATTTACATGTTGTCCTATTTTCATTGAATCTAGGTTTGGATTATGATTCTGTTCCCTTTACTTTCTTTTCTTGCTGTTTTGTGTCTGTGGTGTCTAGTTCTAGATTATATTGAAAAATGCTATTCATATGTATGTCTTTTGTATAATCTATCCGATTTATTATCAGATTGTCTGAAACTGATGATCGTTAAACTACTTTATCCTCGGAACTGGTACTTCAATCATTAAAAATGAAGCAGACCAAGGTGTTCAATTATCTAAATATTAGATGAAATATCCTGCATCAATGGTAAACTACGGTTGCAAATCATTTAAATTTAGATCTGTCATGTCTGTCAGTCATGTCTCGTTGATTGTTTATTAGGACGGGTTGTGTCCTTTCAAAAGTAATTGCTCTCTGGTTCAAAACAATGATCAATATTTTATTATTTGATTTTTTTGTATTTTGGTTCCAGTTTTATTTATTTATCTATTTTGGTGTTTGGCTTTGATTTTCGAATATTTGGACTTTTACAATTTCAAATTACGAATAATTGAATAACAAGACATGTGTATTATGTAGCTGTATTCATTGTATTGATAACATGTAGTTACATACCTATGTAAAGGTTTGTTATGTCTATGAGGTTTGTGATATCATATTATATATTATCTGTTTTATCTAATAAATTGACAGCTCACGTATGCTTGCAATTTTTCAACGGCTGAAAAATTCGAGATACACGTTGATTTTGACGATTTAGCGAAATATATTGTGAGTACACTCCGTTTTTATGTTATAGTGCAATAAAATGAAAATAATTAAGAAAATCCTTACTCATGATAAACAGGAAAGGAGTATCTGCCTTACAGTATATTTCGTTTTTCTAGTTATCGATCAATAATATGAAAATGGTCGAAGGCAAACCCGAAAAAGATCAATTGGAGATTACAATATGCTTACAGTTGTAATTAATTCTTTTCTTTGATATCTTTATTTGGAGACGTTGTTTCTGTGTTAATATTAATGTGTGTAGGTAGGTTGTATGTTTGTGTGGTTTTCTGCCGTTACACCAACGAGAAGATGATCATATAAACAAACACATGAAACAGAACGTCCTTCCTACCTTCATTTGTTCTTAATTTGAACGAAACATAAAAACAATATAACGAGGTTTGTAATGCATGCTAAGATATATTTATTAACTAAAATCTACATTTGCCATTAATCCGTAACATATTAACAGTGGTGAGTTTGTGGGGACTAGTAACCTCCGCCAACGCTTCCTCCGCCAACGCTTCCTCCGCTGTGTCCTCCGTTACATACACATCCAAGACTTCCGTATGGATTTCCGGTGTATCCAGTGTCACAGGTACATTTGTTTATGCTGTGGTCACAGTGAGAATGTGGGAACGATCCGCATCGTCCATCACATGGAACTGAAATTAACGATATAAGACCATTACAAGTAGCTATTTAAACGACTATTTTCATATCTTGTACCATTCGTGTTACTTCGTGTGTAATTAAAGTTGCGTGTTACACGGATAGAATTGACAGAGCTTTAAGAAAAGAAATTGATTTGAAACACTTACTTCCGCATTTCTTTGTTGGGTCTCCAAGAAGTCCAGGGTTACATTTACACGTGTTTGAAGCGAGATCACAATAGGCGTTGTACACACAGGCTCCGTTACAAGGTACTGTCATGTGAACAGATAATTTGTTAATTTAAACAGCCTTTTTATGCATTATAACAAATTCGATTAGACATGAATAATCACAATTTTTTTAGTTAGTTAATAGGATTTTTGATAGATACGATAAAAAATTGTGAAAACCTAGAGAGTGATATGACATTCTATGTGCCAATTGAATAGTTAGTGTTCAGACACGGCATTATTTACTTACGTGAACAGACTCCATGATAGAGCTTGTATCCGGAGTTACAAACACATTGGTTGGTTCCCCTGTTACAATAGGCATTAGCTCCACATGGTCCTCCACATGGCACTGATGACAGGACGGAGATTGTCATTGAATCATAGGTAAAATGTTTGGAGATATAGCATTATGAATATTGACAATATATTGTGTTTACTCTAAAAATGGTATGGTGCGATTGAAGGATGAAGACTTGAAAAACGAGTCATTCGTTAATAACGACAGGTTTAATGATGTGGCCAGACACCGATTTTTATATCATATAACGACAAATGGCCAACCATAACATTTTCTATAGAATGTATCAGCCCATAACAACCCAACGTTCTGTAAATCTTAGTTCTATCTGATCCAAAATTTAATGAAATTACAAGTCAGACAAAGTGTATGATCTGTTCATGCCGAAATAAATGAGAGATAACGTTTTCTACATTTACTTACAGACACATGATCCGTGGTATGTAAAGTAGCCTGTTTTACAGACACACTGGTTCCTCACTTTGTCACAATAGGAGTTTGGTGCACATGGTCCTCCACATGGCACTAAAATGTAGTAGTTTGAACATGTATGTTAAAAGTTGAATACCTGCCTGCTAAATATAATCCATATTACCCTTGACTTGATATAAATGTCGCGTTTATAATTGCATTTTTAAAACCAGTTAAATGAAAGTAATATCTTGTGGTCCAAGTTATTCTATTTCAACAATTTGAACTTTTCTAGCATCACATAAATGTACTTTAGAAGACTGCGTGGCATAATACATGGTCAATTTGAAGGTAGAAATGTAGTCACAAAACGTCACACAAGAATATTTTAAGTAGAATACCTTACTCACTATGAAAATGTTAGGAGATAAAACTTTCAGAATATTGACAATATACGGTGTAAACTCTAAAAATGGTATGGTGTGATTGAAGGATGAAGACTTGAAAAACGAATGATGTGGTCAGATACCGATTTTTATATCATATAACGACAAATGGCCGACCATAACATTTCCTATAGAATGTACCAGACCATAACAACCCAACGTTCTGTAAATCTTAGTTCTATCTGATCCAAAATTTAATGAAATTACAAGTCAAACAAAATGTATGATCTGTTCATGCCGAAATAAATGAGTTAGGTAACGTTTTCTACATTTACTTACAGACACATGATCCATGGTATGTAAAGTAGCCTGTTTTACAGACACACTGGTTCTTGACTTTGTCACAATAGGAGTTTGGTGCACATGGTCCTCCACATGGCACTAAAATGCAGTAGTTTGAACATGTATGTTAAAAGTTGAATACCTGCCTGCTAAATAGAATCCATATTACCCTTGACTTGATATAAATGTCGCGTTTATAATTGCATATTTAAAACCAGTTAAATGAAAGTGATATCTGGTGGTCCCAGTTATTTAATTTCAACAATTTGAACTTTTCTAGCATCACATTGGTGTACTTTAGAAGACTGCGTGGCATACTACATTGCTCTCACACAGGAATTTCTTATTTAATATACCTGTCTAACGATGAAAATAGACAATATACGGTGTAAACTCTAAAAATTGTATGGTGTAATTGAAGGATGAAGACTTGAAAAACGAGTCATTCATTGATAACGACAGGTTTTATGATGTGGTCAGATATCGATTTCTATATCATGTAAAGTCAAATGGCCGACCATAACATTACTGGCAGAATGCAACAGACCATTACAACCCGATGTCTATCATCATTAACACATTTGATAAAAAAAATACAGGTCAAACAAAATATTTGATATTTTATACCGGAACAAATGAGAGTTGGATAGTGTTTGCTACATTTACTTACAGACACATGATCCGTGGTATGTAAAGTAGCCTGTTTTACAGACACACTGGTTCCTGCCTTTGTCACAATAGGAGTTTGGTCCACATGGTCCTCCGCATGGCACTGCAACAAAACTCTTCGTTTATATCAAAAACCGGATAGGATATTTTAAATCCTGACAGTCTTATACTTAAGTTTATAAAAGGATTGATTCGGCATTGATTGATAAAAGATAAAAAAAATAAAAACATCTTATGGTAGGCGTTAGGTCCGAATGATCTGTTAACATGTCAATGATAAATACGTCTGCATGACACTGTTAACAGTTTGATTGTAAATACGTTCAAAAATGTTGCTCACATCAACTTGGAGGTTTAAATACTTGTTTAAAAACGTTTCTAAAATCATATGCTAATTTTATATCATGGAAATAGCTGGCGGACGTATCCCAGTAAAATACAACCTCATGGTCCATGAATGCAAGCTTCCTTTGGTTTATTATCCTTTAATGAATTTTCTAGCACACAAAATGTAGGTGTCGTCTCATAAAGGAAGAAATTGAGGATTGATGTAAGTAAGAATTGCGCTGATAGTTTAACCCTAATCATACTTACATACACAGGATCCGTGATAGGAAAAGTATCCTGTCTTGCAGACACATACGTTTTTAAGCTTATCACAATATGAGTTTGGTCGACATGGTCCTCCGCATGGCACTGAAACATTAAATGGTTTATCGATATAATGATCGAACGAAATATATACACTTAAGAATTTAGGATTAAATGAAGGTCTTACAGCCAAAGTCTTTGCTTTTTGGATGCTTATTTCAACGGAAATTTTAGATGAAATAGATAAGTAATATAATGCAGCACTTGAAAATATCAAGATTTGCCTTATTTTGTTCATTTTTTGTGAATAATAGTCATTCCTTGTTATTTTGGAGGCAGCATTTATTTATAGCATATAACTTTATCATTGTTTTTGAAATTCAATAAAACGAACTCTTTATCACTAGGTTACGTCAACTACGCCGTCAAAAAATGTAGTCCGTAAGCAAACCTATTACACAACGTATATTTAGCTGCCATATTTTGCACCATTAGACAACAAAGTATATCAAAATGTGAACCATAGCATTGTTTTGTTAATATTAGTGTAAATATTAGGGTAATGTAATAAAGTATTTAATACATACATGTACAGACTCCATGGTACAAAAAGTAGCCAGTGTTACAGACACATTTCTGTGAAGGCATATCACAACGGGCATTAGGTCCACATGGTCCGCCGCATGGTTCTGTAAGGAGTAATGATCAAACATCACAATTATAAGCTAACCACCACGATAAAAACAAGCTAATTTAAATAATAAACCCTTTACTATTAAACGAATGAAGGAAGACAGAACAGCATCAAATCAACCATTGAAGCAATTTAGAGTGTACAGTCTATCATTTAATCATTACTTTCAAATGAAGCAACGGAATATAGTGTTACTATCTACCCGATAATTTACTTACTATCATCACTTATGATGGTTACTCTGGTTACCCTGAGACTTCCCACGCTCACAGTTGAAGAGGATTGTACGGAAAGGCTGACCGAGAAAACTTCATTTGGCTCATATATCTGCAACATTACAGGATTACGATTTTTATCATAGTTTACTTCATTTCAGATCAAGAAAGAAAACTTTACTAATCAAATAGAGGATATCTTCTTTTAAGCTTTTGTTTTCTTCACGACCATTTACAAACAATTCACCTATCTGATTGATGAGGCTAAAATTGCAGTTTACCTTATCGTCGACAATTGCAATAGTGAATGTCTTAGATGTCTGTCCACTTCCAAAGATAACTGTTCCTTGGTTTTGACCGAAGTCACTTGGGTAGGATGCAGACATAGCTGTGGCTGACCAAGAGGCAGTCACTGGCACAGAAGTTCCACCGGTTCTAACTACTTCTATCGTAACACTTCTATCGCGTTCATTCACTGAGTAGCTGGGTCGGACAAATTGTACGACGCTAGGGCCTACAAGAAAAGGAAATGTTTTGCCCATAATGCCATGAATATCTAAGTCATTTGTTAAAGACGTAATAACAATCAAGTGTTTTGCAAGATTGCAAGGAATGTCGACGATTCCTATTTACATCTTGAGTATTAATTATTTTGTACAAGAATAAAATCTATTCTTATCACTCTTCTCACTACATCTTGTGTATTGCTAGTGATTATGTGTATTCGGATATTTTTCTTTGTGTAGTCGAGGGAACTAATTTGTCTTCGTGTTCCTTCCTGTTTTAGTGGCAGATGATTCCGTTGTTGCTAACATTCATCTTATTTAAGACTGTAATACGTACTACATACTTGGATCGACCGATGTTCATATAGTGGGTATCATTGCTTTCCCGGAGAATTTCAAGTTTTCCCATTGTTAACCGATTTGATAATGACTAGTAAATTATGACATGAAGGTAGTGTCTTTGTTGATTTTTTACAATGTCCTTATCAAATGTACTTGAATTCCCGGCAAAATGCATCTTTTGTAACCTAATATAACAAATGTACTTATTTCACACATAATATATACGTTGAAATCTAGAGGAAATGTATGTACTTGTGTGAAATAATTAGCATAGATAAGCGTGCTATAAGTGGTTGTTGTTAACGTCTGTTTGCGCAAATCACACTTATGCAGGATGAACAGTAATTGTTCAATCCAGTTTATACCAAATCCTTCAGCCGTACTCATCTAAAGGATAACTCACGAATGCAAGATCCACGGACGAGGTTATATCCTGTGTTACAGACACACTGGTTCCTGACTTTATCACAATAGGCGTTTGGTTTACATGGTCCACCGCATGGCACTGTGAATGTAATAACGTCATTTGATTTATAGAATAAAATGGTATGTATCACTATGTTTGTATTAATAAATATAACTAAATGTTTGCATAATTTAGTCGTTTTGTACATAAATAGTCTTTGAAAATGATTGTGTTAATTACATTATTTTTATGTTGTTACAATGGAGCTCATCAGCATGGATATAACGGCATTGATCTAATCAGATGTCAACAGATTGATTAAAATATAAAAGCTGAATATTTCATGTATTTATGTAGGACATAATTGCATATCTTATAACGATAGTTTGTTAAACGTGAAAGAACGTGTCATTTATGTACTTACAGACACATGATCCGTGGTATGTAAAGTAACCTGTTTTACAGACACACTGGTTCCTCACTTTGTCACAATAAGTGTTAGTTTTACATGGACCTCCGCATGGCACTAAAACGCAGTAGTTTGAACATATATGTGTTAAAAGTTGAATATTTGTTAAATCAATAGAACTCGGAACTCACGTAACCCTTGATATAAATGTCGTGTTGATAAATGTATATTTGAAACCAGTAATTATACGAAAGTAATGTCTGGGTGTGACAGTTATTTCATTACAACGTTTTAAACTGATCTAGCATCACATAGTTGTACATTAAATGACTGCGTGACATAGTACATGGTCAATTTGAAGATGATAATGTAATTATTGAAATGTCACATAAGATTTTTTTTTCAATATACTTTACTAAGCTGAACAATACTTTTCATATATAATATCATAAATATTGTAAACTTGCAGCGACAACCCTAAAGATGTTATGGTATGATTGAAGGATGAGACTTGAATAAGGAGACGTTTGTTGATAACAACTTACTTATCGGCGTGTTGATAAAATATGATAATATACAGATTAAATTATTAACTTTTTGTACCATTTAAAGACAAACGACCCTTCATTATATTTCCTTTAGAATGCAACAGACCATTACAACCCAACGTTCTGTAAGTCTTAGTTCTATCTGATCCAACATTTAATGAAATTACAAGTCAAACAAAATGTATGATCTGTTCATGCCGAAATAAATGAGTTAGGTAACGTTTTCTACATTTACTTACAGACACATGATCCATGGTATGTAAAGTAGCCTGTTTTACAGACGCACTGGTTCCTCACTTTGTCACAATAGGAGTTTGGTGCACATGGTCCTCCACATGGCACTAAAATGCAGTAGTTTGAACATATATGTGTTAAAAGCTGAATACCTGCCTACTAAATATAATCCATATTAACCTTGATTTAATATAAATGTCGCGTTAATGATTGCATATTTAAAACCAGTTAAATGAAAGTAACATCTGGCGGTCCTAAGTATTTTATTTCAACAATTTGAACTTTTCTAGCATCATATAGGTGTACTTTAAAAGACTGCGTGGCATAGTACATGGTTAATTTGAAGATGATGTAATTATTGAAATGTCACTTAAGATTTTTTTTCAATATACTTTACTAAGCTGAACAATACTTTTCATATATAATATTATAAATATTGTAAACTTGCAGCGACAACCCTTAAGATGTTATGGTATGATTGAAGGATGAGACTTGAATAAGGAGACGCTTGTTGATAACAACTTACTTATCGGCGTGTTGATAAAATATGATAATATATAGATTAAATTATTAACTTTTTGTACCATTTAAAGACAAACGACCCTTCATTATATTTCCTTTAGAATGCAACAGACCATTACAACCCAAAGTTCTGTAAATCTTAGTTCTATCTGATCCAAAATTTAATGAAATTACAAGTCAAACAAAATGTATGATCTGTTCATGCCGAAATAAATGAGTTAGGTAACGTTTTCTACATTTACTTACAGACACATGATCCGTGGTATGTAAAGTAGCCTGTTTTACAGACGCACTGGTTCCTCACTTTGTCACAATAGGAGTTTGGTGCACATGGTCCTCCACATGGCACTAAAATGCAGTAGTTTGAACATATATGTGTTAAAAGTTGAATACCTGCCTGCTAAATATAATCCATATTAACCTTGATTTAATATAAATGTCGCGTTAATGATTGCATATTTAAAACCAGTTAAATGAAAGTAACATCTGGCGGTCCTAAGTATTTTATTTCAACAATTTGAACTTTTCTAGCATCATATAGGTGTACTTTAAAAGACTGCGTGGCATAGTACATGGTTAATTTGAAGATGATGTAATTATTGAAATGTCACTTAAGATTTTTTTTCAATATACTTTACTAAGCTGAACAATACTTTTCATATATAATATTATAAATATTGTAAACTTGCAGCGACAACCCTTAAGATGTTATGGTATGATTGAAGGATGAGACTTGAATAAGGAGACGCTTGTTGATAACAACTTACTTATCGGCGTGTTGATAAAATATGATAATATATAGATTAAATTATTAACTTTTTGTACCATTTAAAGACAAACGACCCTTCATTATATTTCCTTTAGAATGCAACAGACCATTACAACCCAACGTTCTGTAAATCTTAGTTCTATCTGATCCAACATTTAATGAAATTACAAGTCAAACAAAATGTATGATCTGTTCATGCCGAAATAAATGAGTTAGGTAACGTTTTCTACATTTACTTACAGACACATGATCCGTGGTATGTAAAGTAGCCTGTTTTACAGACGCACTGGTTCCTCACTTTGTCACAATAGGAGTTTGGTGCACATGGTCCTCCACATGGCACTAAAATGCAGTAGTTTGAACATATATGTGTTAAAAGTTGAATACCTGCCTACTAAATATAATCCATATTAACTTTGATTTAATATAAATGTCGCGTTAATGATTGCATATTTAAAACCAGTTAAATGAAAGTAACATCTGGCGGTCCTAAGTATTTTATTTCAACAATTTGAACTTTTCTAGCATCATATAGGTGTACTTTATAAGACTGCGTGGCATATTACATGGTCAATTTGAACGTAGAAATGTAGTCATAAAACGTCACACAAGAATATTTTATTTAATATACCTTACTAACGATGAAAATGCTCTTTGATATAGCATTAAGAATATTGACAATATATGGTGTAAACCCTAAAAATGGTATGGTGTGATTGAAGGATGAAGACTTGAAAAACGAGTCATTCGTTAATAACGACAGGTTTAATGATGTGGTTAGATACCGATTTTTATATCATATAACGACAAATGGCCGACCATAACATTTCCTATAGAATGTACCAGACCATAACAACCCAACGTTCTGTAAATCTTAGTTCTATCTGATCCAAAATTTAATGAAATTACAAGTCAAACAAAATGTATGATCTGTTCATGCCGAAATAAATGAGTTAGGTAACTTTTTCTACATTTACTTACAGACACATGATCCATGGTATGTAAAGTAGCCTGTTTTACAGACACACTGGTTCTTGACTTTGTCACAATAGGAGTTTGGTGCACATGGTCCTCCACATGGCACTAAAATGCAGTAGTTTGAACATGTATGTTAAAAGTTGAATACCTGCCTGCTAAATAGAATCCATATTACCCTTGACTTGATATAAATGTCGCGTTTATAATTGCATATTTAAAACCAGTTTAATGAAAGTAATATCTGGTGGTCAAAGTTATTTAATTTCAACAATTTGAACTTTTCTAGCATCACATTGGTGTACTTTAGAAGACTGCGTGGCATAGTACATTGCCGTCACACAGGAAATGTTTATTAATATACCTGTCTAACGATGAAAATGTTCGGAGATATAACATTAAGAATATTGACAATATACGGTGTAAACTCTAAAAATTGTAGGGTGTAATTGAAGGATGAAGACTTGAAAAACGAGTCATTCATTGATAACGGTAGGTTTTATGATGTGGTCAGATATCGATTTCTATATCATGTAAAGTCAAATGGCCGACCAAAACATTACTGGCAGAATGCAACAGACCATTACAACCCGATGTCTATCATCAACAACACATTTGATAAAAAAATACAGGTCAAACAAAATATTTGATATTTTATACCGGAACAAATGAGAGTTGGATAGTGTTTGCTACATTTACTTACAGACACATGATCCGTGGTATGTAAAGTAGCCTGATTTACAGACACACTGGTTCCTGCCTTTGTCACAATAGGAGTTTGGTCCACATGGTCCTCCGCATGGCACTGCAATAAAACTCCTCGTTTATATCAAAAACCGGATAGGATATTTTAAATCCTGACAGTCTTATAAAAGGATTGATTGGGCATTGATTGATAAATGATAAAAAAAATAAAAACATCTTATGGTAGGCGTTAGGTCCGAATGATCTGTTAACATGTTAATGATAAATACGTCTGCATGACACTGTTAACAGTTTGATTGTAAATACGTTGAAAGTGTTGCTCACATCAACTTGGAGGTTTAAATACTTGTTTAAAAACTTTTCCCAAATGATATGTTAATTTATATATCATGAAGGTAGCTGGTGGACGTATCCCAGTAAAATACAACCTCATGGTCCATGAATGCAAGCTTCCTTTGGTTTATTATCCTTTAATGAATTTTCTAGCACACAAAATGTAGGTGTCGTCTCATAAAAGAAGAAATTGGGGATTGATGTAAGTAAGAATTGCGCTGATAGTTTAACCCTAATCATACTTACATACACAGGATCCGTGATAGGAAAAGTATCCTGTCTTGCAGACACATACGTTTTTAAGCTTATCACAATATGAGTTTGGTCGACATGGTCCTCCGCATGGCACTGAAACATTGAATGGTTTATCGATATGATGATCGAACGAAATATATACACTTAAGGAGTCAGAGTTAAATGAAGGTCTTGCTGCCAAAGTCTTTGCTTTTTGGATGCTTATTTCAACGGAAATTTTAGATGAAATAGATAAGTAATATAATGCAGCACTTGAAAATATCAAGATTTGCCTTATTTTGTTCGTTTTTTGTGAATAATAGTCATTTCTTGTTATTTTTTATTATATTATTTTTTTGGAGGCAGCATTTATTTATAGCATATAACTTTATCATTGTTTTTGAAATTCAATAAAACGAACTCTTTATCACTAGGTTACGTCAACTACGCCGTCAAAAAATGTAGTCCGTAAGCAAACTTATTACACAACGTATATTTAGCTACCATATTTTGCACCATTAGACAACAAAGTATATCAAAATGTGAACAATAACATTGTTTTGTTAATATTAGTGTAAATATTAGGGTAATGTAATAAAGTATTTAATACATACATGTACAGACTCCATGGTACAAAAAGTAGCCAGTGTTACAGACACATTTCTGTGAAGGCATATCACAACGGGCATTAGGTCCACATGGTCCGCCGCATGGTTCTGTAAGGAGTAATGATCAAACATCACAATTATAAGCTAACCACCACGATAAAAACAAGCTAATTTAAATAATAAACCCTTTACTATTAAACGAATGAAGGAAGACAGAACAGCATCAAATCAACCATTGAAGCAATTTAGAGTGTACAGTCTATCATTTAATCATTACTTTCAAATGAAGCAACGGAATATAGTGTTACTATCTACCCGATAATTTACTTACTATCATCACTTATGATGGTTACTCTGGTTACCCTGAGACTTCCCACGCTCACAGTTGAAGAGGATTGTACGGAAAGGCTGACCGAGAAAACTTCATTTGGCTCATATATCTGCAACATTACAGGATTACGATTTTTATCATAGTTTACTTCATTTCAGATCAAGAAAGAAAACTTTACTAATCAAATAGAGGATATCTTCTTTTAAGCTTTTGTTTTCTTCACGACCATTTACAAACAATTCACCTATCTGATTGATGAGGCTAAAATTGCAGTTTACCTTATCGTCGACAATTGCAATAGTGAATGTCTTAGATGTCTGTCCACTTCCAAAGATAACTGTTCCTTGGTTTTGACCGAAGTCACTTGGGTAGGATGCAGACATAGCTGTGGCTGACCAAGAGGCAGTCACTGGCCCAGAGGTTCCACCAGTTCTGGATACTTCTATCGTAACACTACCGTCTGTTTCCCTCACTGAGTGGCTTGCTCGTACAAATTGTACGACGCTTGGACCTACGATAAAAGTACATATATTCATCAACACCTAAATTAATATTTTCCGCAGTTCTCAATGGCATCCTAACACGAAATCTTACGAGAATGTGGGAAAAAATGCCACAAACTTTCTATCAACTGCATTCCCTACAGATATCTGACCCTTTAGCCGTTCTCTACACGTGCTAAACAATATTCAGCATACGGGAAATGCAAATTGGTCAATATATAATGCTTTTCATGTGATCGTGATTAATTTAAGATTCGCCAGCTACTTTTAGTTACTTAGACTCCATTTTGGTGGTTAGAAGCATTTCGTGTAACATACTCACGAGAACAAGATCCCTGGACGAGGAAATAGCCTTGGTTACAGACACACTGATTTTTGACTTTGTCACAATAAGCGTTACGTCCGCAAGGTCCACCGCATGGTACTATGTATTGAATTGTTATTGAATGTTTTCATTTGTGGTATTCTAATGAGAAAGCTTTAATTAAAAACGGAAATTTAATAGATGACCGATATGCATTAGAAAAATACAAATATCGTTAATGACCATAATTATTTAAGTAGACCACATAATGGAATTGTAGTTAAACAAGGGTAATTCAGGATTATAGCGAAAACAGCCCTAGAAACAATGATATCATGGGTTCGAATGTATACATATCAGATAAAAAAAATATTACACTGTGATGGAATTTACAAGACCAAACAACAAATTTGATGATTGCAATAGATACTCACAAACACATGATCCATGGTAGAGATAATATCCTGTGTTACAGACACACTTGTTGCTAACTTTGTCACAACGAGCGTAAGGTCCACATGGTCCTCCGCATGGAACTATCAAAAGCAAAACAATGTGACAGAAATTGCTTTGCCTGATAAATATATTTGTGTATCGCATCGTTCTAAGTTATTTCTATCTTGAGATGATGAATGCATACGAGTACACGATCAATATTATATACATATCAGATAAATTAATTATACACTGTGATGGAATTTACAAGACCAAACATCAAATTTGATGAATACAATATCATTGGAAATTGTCGTGGATACTCACGAACACATGATCCATGGTATGTGAAGTATCCTGTGTTACAAACACACTGGTTCCTGCCTTTGTCACAATAGGCGTTTGGTCCACATGGTCCTCCACATGGCACTGAAAAGTATAAGTCATCTAGCTAACAGTCTTATAAATAAAAAGCCAATTTATTTGTATTTAAGGAATTTGTTTTACATTTCGCACACATGTGTTCACATTAACTTCGATATCTAAGCTTATGAAGTTTGTTTGGAAATATCTTATTATAATGGAAAGAGTTTTAACATCTGAAACAGTTAACGTACACGTTGAAGTATTGGTAATTTACTGTCCAAATTAACAACACGGCTTTGATACCAGGTATTATCTCAAATTATGATTAGATGATCTTCTATGAACAAAAATAAGGCACATCTCATCTCATACGTTACACCATTAAACCAACATTGAAGGTGATCCCATCTTTCAACTAGACAATGGAATTACAATAAACTTGTTTATGTAATAATCGAAACACGCTAAAGTGTTGAGACAGGATGTAAAACAAAAAAAAAAACTAATATTCATATTTGACATATGTTGATTGTTAATAAAAAAAAATGTCTATAACATTTTTGTAATGAACACGATATTAGCAAATCATGTACATTTTTAATTTGGACAATTTTTGCAATGCTATCTTCAACTTGCTACTATAATATATGTATTGAAATGTAACGACGACGTGTTCATCATCATCCACGAATCTGATCAGTATCAAGGGACGTGAAGGATATAATTTCAGAAACAAAATTATCTCTCCTTATTTCTAAATAATAGGAGAGACTACTTACAAACACATGATCCATGGTAGAGATAATATCCTGTGTTACAGACACATTTGTTACTAACTTTGTCGCAACGAGCGTAAGGTCCACATGGTCCTCCGCATGGAACTGTCAAAAGCAAAACAATGTGACAAAAATTGCTCTGCCTGATAAATATATTTGTGTATCGCATCATTCTAAGATATTTCTATCTTGAGATGATGAATACATACGAGTACACGATCAATATTATATACATATCAGATAAATTAATTATACAATGTGATGGACTTTACAAGACCAAACATCAAATTTGATTAATACAATATCATTGGAAATTGTCGTGGATACTCACGAACACATGATCCATGGTATGTAAAGTATCCTGTGTTACAGACACACTGGTTCCTGCCTTTGTCACAATAGGCGTTTGGTCCACATGGTCCTCCACATGGCACTGAAAAGTATAAGTCATCTAGCTAACAGTCTTATAAATAAAAAACAATTTATTTGTATTTAAAGAATGGTTGTTCATATGGTTACATTACAGATGTAGTCATATTAAATTCGATACGTCATGTTGATGTAACATCATTAATGTTGTCTGGTAATAGTTTACTATACCGGAAAGGGTTTTAATATTTGGAACAATAAATATGGCTCTAATTAAACGTTTAAGTATTTGTAATTTACTATCCAAATTAACAATACGACTTTGATGCCAGATATTGTCTCAAATTATGATAAGATGATTCATCCATGAACAAAGAGAAGAAACACCTCAATTAATATGTTTCACCATTAAACTAAAATTTAAGGTAATTCCTTCCTTCAACTAAACAATAGAAGAACAATATAATTGTTTATGTAATAATCAAAACACGCTAAAGACTTGAGACATTATTCATAACTAGCAAATCATGTTAACTGTTAAATTTGACAACGTTTACATTGACATATTCAAGTTACTATTACAATGTATGTTCAAAATGTATCGACGTGTTCACTACCATCGACGAAACTTATTGATATCAAGGAACGGGACATAAAGGATATCATTTCAGAAACTAAAATATCCTATCCTTATCTTAAAATAAAAAGCGAGCCTGTACTTACAAACACATGATCCATGGTAGAGATAATATCCTGTGTTACAGACACACTTGTTGCTAACTTTGTCGCAACGAGAGTTAGGTCCACATGGTCCCCCGCATGGAACTGTCAAAAACAAAACGTGCTTGAAATTGCTCTGCCTGATAAATAGATTTGTGTATCGCATCATTCTAAGATATTTCTATCTTGAGATGATGAATACATACGAGTACACGATCAATATTATATACATATCAGATAAATTAATTATACAATGTGATGGACTTTACAAGACCAAACATCAAATTTGATGAATACAATATCATTGGAAATTGTCGTGGAAACTCACGAACACATGATCCATGGTATGTAAAGTATCCTGTGTTACAGACACACTGGTTCCTGCCTTTGTCACAATAGGCGTTTGGTCCACATGGTCCTCCACATGGCACTGCAATACAATGGTTCATTATAAGTAACTACATAATTTGCATTGATAGTCTAATAACCAACGGAGATTGTCACTTGAGTATTACTTTTGTAATGAAACAGGGAATGGTGTATGAAACTGCACATGAAGAAAAGTTTATCTATATTCATGATTTCTTCAGAGAAATGTTTTCCGATTTTTTTATTAACAGTTTTATTTTCCTTCTCATACATGATCGGTACTTGGTTTTTTCCCCTATATTAAATTTAGCATTTTTAAAAATAATACCGATATTCCGTAATATCCCAGATTAATGACGGATCTCTGCAGGTGTCAATGACACACAACAAAAATACCGACATATCAACAGAATTTTCATTCCAACTTAAATTCGAGGAACCTAGGGATAATTAAAGATAAAAGGAAGCTTGACACGGAAACCCACGAAAAGAGCAATATATATATCAATAAGACCAGATTGTAGGGTTCCGCGAAATCATTGTCTGCTTATATCATTTCTCTTTAAGATTAACTTTTGACTTTTCTTTTTATCCTTTATGGATTTTTCTTTGTCGCCTGATAGGCTTCAAATTTAAGTCCTTAGCATCACTGACGAGTCGACGAGCCTTAGAAGGACGAAACAGCTGTATGACGAAGTTTACTTCAGTGTTTTGCCCTTCTTTATCTCATTCTCAATTATGAAAAGGTGCTATTCATTTATGTCTTTTGTACAATTTTGAAAGTACAAATCAGTAATCTTTCACTTAGACTTTATGTTGTGTATTGTATTCCTTTCGATGGAAGTAAGATAACCTTAACATTTACCATTTTCAGATGGTTGGATTATCCCTTCGGACGTGCAGTTGGTACAAATACCATTTTAATAAAATTGTGTACTTACAGACACATGATCCGTGGTAAACGTAATATCCAGTGTTACAGACACACTTGTTGCTGACTTTGTCACAATAGGCGTTTGATCCACATGGTCCTCCACATGGCCCTACAACAACACGAGTAAGTATATAACCAGCGTTTTGATGGTTGGTGAATTATATTATCCATAAGATGCAAAGAAGTATAACTTAATACTAAGAACATGGAATCTTTTCGTTTAGTCAGATACAAATATATGTACATGTGTACACTCGAAAAAAGACACGGCTTATTTTCTGGGAAAGTTAGCAAATGCATGTTTATTTATGTTAGAGACTGCAGGCTTATTTCCATTAATCATGTTGCAGTAGACTTGTTTTCGAATTTTAGGATATTTCGGCAAAGGTTTTGAACCGACACGGATCAAACTGTGAAACAATTCTTGTTTTGTAGGTAGTTCTGAATTCATTTCCTATGAATTAAGGGATGTATAGAAATTCGTTCTGTCCTCCACACAGAACAGACATTTTGGACATATATAAATGCTTCCATCAAATCTTTCTCATACATGTCATTTTGTTTCCATTACAGTTTAAAATACAAATGCAAAAACAAGATAATGATTATTTGAATGAGAAACATTGTCATTAGATATTTAGAATTTCCGTATATGTAGTGTTGGTTTATACCGTAGTGCTTCATTCGGCCATGGTAAACATTGTTCAATAATGGTTGTACCAATCAACTGGAAAGTACCATGAAAGAAAAAGATACTCACGAACACATGATCCATGGTATGTAAAGTATCCTGTGTTACAGACACATTGGTTTCTGCCTTTGTCACAATAGGAATTAGGTCCACATGGTCCTCCACATGGCACTACAATGAATTTGTGGAAAACTTAACATTTGAATATGACTGCAGTTTGCCATAGATTGTCACAAAATCCGCCATAATAGCATTATTTCTCTATTTTAAAATGATTTACACGACTATACAAATGTGTGTAACATATTTTCCAGATAAATATGTTTTTGTTACGTACATGTACAGACTCCATGGTACAAAAAGTGACCAGTGTTACAGACACATTTCTGTGAAGGCATATCACAATGGGCATTGGCTCCACATGGTCCACCACATGGTTCTGTAAGTATTCAATCAAATATTACATGTAATTATCCTCCTTATTTTGATCAAAACGATTATGTTCTGAAAAAGATGCTAACGTGGTCAGAAATTGTATCATATAACGGTCGTAGCACGGTGTTTAAACATTTTACGTTATGTATGTTAAATGCTTTTATATGATTGTCCATTTACCCATACTCAGTGTTATTAGGTGGGCTTGCTATGGCCTTAAATTGTAAAAAGCGGAAATGATATTATATCTAATTATCTGTCTGCTTTTATACTTACTATCATCATTTGTGATGGTTACCCTGGTCACTCTAAAACTTCCGATACTGACAAACGATGATGAAGAGGACTGCACGGACAGACTGACAGAGAAACTTTCACTTGGCTCAAATACCTGTAAGTTTACAAAAGAAATATTTTGTGAAACAGATCGTTACCACATTTTAAAATGGATACATATCAAATGACTCACAATTAACACAGATTATTTTTTTTATATTTTACAATGTTGTTTACCTTGTCATCGACGATTGCAATAGAAAATGTCTGGGATGTTTGTCCACTTCCGAATGTAACTGTTCCTTGGTTTTGACTGAAGTCACTTGGGTAGGAAGCAGTCATAGCTTTGGCTAACCAAGAGACTGTCACTGGAGAGGTTCCACCAGTTCTTGATACTTCTAACGAAACACTTCCATCGCGTTCACTTACTGAGTAACTTGCTCGTACAAATTGTACAACACTTGGACCTATAAAAATGACATTGCTGGTTTTATGAGAACAATCGGAAGAAAAATTCTTTAAAAGTTATATTGCTTACATCTTTTACTTTTATTAATGTATATTTAAACAGATAAACAATAAGTATTTATGTAAAATACACAATGAATCAATGATATTTGATTGCGTAATGAAATTCGTTACATCAGATGTGACGGGTATTGTTAATGTCAATAAGTATCGTACTAACAGAATGGTGTTTAAACAGTTTCGTCAATCATTTGAATTGAGCAAACTATCAGGTCTGTATTGTAAAATCCGTTATACTTACGAGTACACAATCCCCCGACAATGACGTATCCTTTGTTACAGACACACTGGTTCCTGCCTTTGTCACAATAGGCGTTTGGTTTACATGGTCCTCCACATGGCACTTTAGAATAAAATTAGATTAACATTAATAGCATCGCTTCTCCCAACAACATCCAACTATTGGTATGACACTCTGATATCAAATTAAAAGAAAATAATAATAAACATAAAAAAAAATATCAAACAAATGGTATTTACAAAAAAGGCTGCGTACGAATAAATAGAATCGAAAGAAATATTATTGTCATTTAAACAATCTCCTCCCTCAGGTACTCACAGACACATGATCCATGGTAGAGGAAGTATCCTGTGTTACAGACACACTTGTTACTTGCTTTGTCACAGTAGGAGTAAGGTGCACAGGGTCCTCCACATGGCACTAAAAAGGCAACGTATATATACAATAGTACACGATTTTTGTATGGAAAGTAAAGGTAAGAGAAACCGATATTAATACCTACAGACACATGAGTCGCGGTAGAGCACGAATCCTGTGTTACAGACACACTGGTTCCTGATTTTATCACAATAGGCGTTTGATTTACACGGTCCTCCACATGGCACTGAGTAGATAAAAATACATTTGTAACGACATAGATCACTTTGTCCTTTCAAAAGAGCAATTATCGTTTGACATGTGTTTCAATAATCGCCAACTCTGAAACGTTTAATTTTTGTATCATGAAAAATTTTTGGTTGATCTCTGGAAAATCCAACAAGAAAGGATTATTAAAACTTTGATGAAAATATTGCATAATGTAACGATGAAAATTTACAACAAGTAATAAATAGTTAAACCTGAATAAAACTTTCCATCTTCCTTTCGTAAAACAGAATTCAAAAAAGGAGATAAGAAGAAATGATTCTCTGATTATAGACTTACAGACACACGATCCATGGTAGGTGTAGTAGCCTGTGTTACAGACACACTGGTTCCTCACTTTGTCACAATATGAGTTAGGTTTACATGGGCCTCCACATGGCACTGAAACGTAAACTCGTTTTCTTACTAGTTCGTTAATAATAAATTCTTATTGGCGTGTTTTATCTGCATGCTACGTAACATTTTGTACTTAAATAATAATAATTCCTTTAGTTGATGATATTAATGTTCATGATCTATATACCACATGATATTTATAACATTAAAACCGGTTAATTGCTTAAAGAGACATGTTAATGAGGAAATCACATTAATAAGCATACTTATGGTTTTCACAAATATCAAATACATTTATGACTGGAATGCGATTCATATGATTATTTTGTCATCGGCGTGATTTCGATTTATACATTACAAATTACAAAAAAGGTGATAAGGAGAAATAATTTTGTAATTATAGACTTACAGACACATGATCCGTGGTAGGTGTAGTATCCTTTGTTACATTCACACTGGTTGGAGACTTTGTTGCAATAAGCGTTGGGTCCGCATGGGCCTCCGCATGGCACTAAGTGAATCAAAAGTTTAAATCTGTATGTTAGTTTATCCTTTGCAAATTGTTTTGTTTTAAATCTTCTTGTACGTATGATTTGATACAGGTTAAGTATTTCCACACAGTTTTAATCATTTTTAACTATTCATTTAGTATTATAAGACTAACAACTGGAACGATTGAGAGAATGATTTCAAACGTAAAGTACTGCTATACCTATGGAGTAATCTTATCAGCAATTTATTGATCAGAAGAATACTCACAGACACATGAACCGTGATAGAAGTAATATCCTTTGTTACATTCACATTTGTTACTGGCTTTGTTGCAGTAAGAGTAGGGTCCACATGGGCCTCCGCAGGGCACTGTGTACATTAAAATGATAAAATCTGTGATATAGGATTGAACTCTCGTATTTGACAATCACGGGATAAAGGATTCTTAACATTATTCGTGTTTCATAGTAATTAAATCAGACGAACCTAAACACTAAAGACTTCGCAATGCATAAGAAGAAACACCTATCGTTGAATCAAAGAATTGAAGAACAACGTTTGCTATTATTCAAGTAGAGAATCAAAACGATACCAAATGAAGAAACGATTTTTTTCACTATCCTTTTTCTTGTAAAACGAACACACAAATGAATAGTACCATTTCATACAAATTTAAACGTTAGAGCCAAACAGTGAAGTAAAATGAATAATTCTTCAACGTTTAAAATATAACATTCTTTCTAACGGAGCCAAAACTTTGCTTATAACGACAAAGGTCAAAAGTATTATATTCTCCTTTTTTTGTATACAACTTTTACTTACAGACACACGCGCCTCCGAATGAAACGTATCCTGAGCTACACACGCATTTGTTGCTGGATTTGTCACATCGTTCGTTTGGTCCGCATGGTCCTCCACATGGAACTGTCATCAATGTGTTTCGGTAATTAGATAGTCACCTGTATACTGTCTCTTGTTTTGATATTAACGCATTTGTGATGTCATGTTTACTTTGAAAGTTTAACACTATGGTAAATTGAAATTTTAACACTATGGTAAATTGAAAGTTTAGCACTATGGTAAATTCAAATGGTCGTATCTACCTGTATCCGAGTATAATACTTACAACTGCAAGATCCCTTGATAAGATTGTATCCTGGGAGACATACGCATTTGTTTGATGAGGAGTCACAGCGGGCGTTAGCTCCACATGGTCCTCCACAAGGAACTGTGATAGAGATTTAGGGCGAAGTTATATACATACTGATATTACGCTATTTGATTCGAGAAACTGTTAAAACTACTCATGTTAATAGTGTTAAACTAGGGAGACATTGATTGTAATTCACAACGGATGAACACGTGACTTATGCATCTCATTGTTTCATGTTATGTTTTCAAAAACCTAAACTAGCATTGGTATATAGCGCAGTCTGATGAATTTCAATATAACCTCAAGTAGTATGAAATCCTAAACTTTACAAGAATCGAACCAATATCAGTCGTCTTTTATCACTGCTTTATCAGAGAGTCTTGCTACGTTTGTTTGTACAATAATATCATGGTTACCATCTTATCAAAATACTGTTTACTCGGGCAGTTTATAGTTGTGGATTAATAGACCCTCAAACTGCTTTTTCACGCATTCTCTTGAACATCTGCTCTTAAAAAGCCGATAAGAAGGTTTGATTTTTCCACCTCATACACTACCATACTTCATTCTAAACTGAACGAACGTCATCCTTTTCTAGTTTTGAGAACAGCGACACATAGATTGCGCGCTAGTCTGGACCGTATTTCTTGACAAATACGTATAAAGTAAAGAAGAAATACAATGAGGATGAGTTCATGAATAACGTTGAATTTCCTATTGAAAATATCGTAAATAACAGTCTACCGAAGACAGAAACTGTTTCCTCTTTTCTGACTTGTTGATGCTTCCATATAAGACTAAGTTTATCTTAAATGTATGAACAAGGATTTCTCTGTTTACCTTGTTCTAATTTGGGACCTCGATATTATTTATCTGGATTGAAGATTTACAAATCGGTTGTTGTCTATGAAGCAGAGAATGCTTGGTTTTAGCACACCACGTCTGTTTCTCTTATACTTATTCATGGATTTCTGTGTTAATATTTGTTTTGTTTTTTTCCCTTCTTGTGGATTTGAGTATGACTGAAGATCCTGTTTTCAGGGTGGTATTTTCTGTCTCGACTTTGAATATAAAACACTGTTTCGATGGAAATGACAAGCCAGAATACTTACGGCTGCACGAGCCACGGAACAGAATGTAGCCTGATTTACAGACGCATTCCTGTGATGGCATATCACAATAAGCGTTTTCTTTACAAGCTCCTCCACATGGTTCTGTGAATCAATAAAACAGATAGATGTAAATTACCTTACCATGAGAGACATATCATCAGTTTTTCAAACATAAGATCATTTCATCCTTTGCATTGCATTCTTTCGCGAAATACAACATTTCATTGGTCACTAAAACCATTTTGCAAGAGTACAACTACAAAGAATTGTCAAAGAAGTTGCATTTGCATATTTATCGGGAAAATTATTCTTAATGACCTCATGACCCCGATTTATCCCGAAACGTCAGGAAATAATAATAATTGAATAATTGGATTACATATATAATTGTGGCCGCACCAAAATTTATCTTAAATCAGACAAAGTAACAAAACGTCAGGAAAAGGACTTGAGAAACAGTAGCATTGTTGAACGTTTTGAAAGCAGCTCGAGTCATATAAGGACGGTAAAAGCAGAATAAAATTATAACTTAGTTTTGCAGTTGTCGGAATATAATGATGTGTATAGTCTTACTGTCGTCATTCTTGATTGTAACTGTTGTGGTAGTAAGTGATCCTAGTTCTCCTTCATTACTCACAACAGTCAGGGATACTGTGAATGACTCAGTTGGTTCATAAACCTTAAATATCAAGATAAATTTCACTGAAGTGCAACGAAGAAATGAAAGCAATGTTCACAAAATCAATCCGAATATTTAAACATTTCGAAACATTGTCTTTAGATCGTTAATATGTATTGTGTAGATTTGTGTTAGAACTTATGTTTATGGAATATTAACACGCCGAGAAAATTTACAAAATTTTGAAAATAAATGAAAAAGAGAATACTGTAACAAATACCTAGAATACAGAAACATTTTCGTATTTTTCCTATTATGAACAGTGAAGTAAAAAATAAATATCCAGATTAATGTAAACAACTCAATGTTAATTACATCACATGTACATGACTTTATTTGCTACAACCTATGAAAGACACAGGAATTGCGAGATAGACATGATTTTATGCCCTACCTTATCTTTGTTGATTTTGATAGAGAACGTTTCTTTAATCTCGTTAGTCTTGAAGGCCACAGTTCCTTGTCCATTTATATAATCGTCTGGTCTTGTAGCAGTTCCATCAGAGGCGACCCATGTGGCGATGTAAGCTCCTTCGGTTCCTTTTGACCTGACAATGTCGATACTAACTGAGCCTGCATCTTCTTCTACGGCGTAGGCAGACAACGCAAACTGGAACACACTTGGCACTGCAAATATAAATCATAATGTATACGTCAGTGATTTCCCCGTGTTAAGCTGTAAACATCAAATTCTTTTTCAACTGATTTCTTTTCATTGAATATTGTACAAAAGACAGTAATATCCATCTAACAGGTTGGTATGTTTATCAAAATAGAAAAAGGACATAAAATTACAAAGTATACATCTAATAGCACGCACCATGACAATAGGATTATTTTTCATTATTTGAAATAAACTCATTGTATGAAGTCTAAAATTGTATGCATGGATCTTATGTCAAAATTGTTTTAATTGTTCGTACATTATGGTGTTGAACTTACAGAAGCATTTTTTCAGTGGATTGCCGATATATCCTTTGTTGCACCGGCACTTGTTGGTGTTTGAATCGCAGAAAGAATTCGGCTTGCATTTACCACCACATGGACCTAGGAAAAGCAGTGTGTATTGGTATAAATTCAGCAGGTTAAACAGAGTTAAAATCATGACCTAGGAAACATAGTTAACATTGATATAAGTTTGGTGGGTTGTATCTCAAAGGATAGGTTAATATATTCTTTTATCAACATCTTTCAATTAAAATAAAAACTGCATTGTATATTCAATGGACTATAAAAATGACTTGATACGAAAAGCTTGCACACGCTTTTGCGTAATTATAAAATAGTTAATTTACCTCGTAGGCGAATATCTACTTTACGAACGATGTTTCTCTGGCGTAGCGTTTCTTAATTTACCTAACCTTATTAACATCGCTAACAATAAAAAACAGACTTACGGTCACATCCTTTTAGTGGGTTTCCGACAAATCCAGGATTGCATTCACATTCGTTGTTACTATTACAGAAAGCGTTCTTTTTGCACTTGTTATCACATGGCTCTGTAAATCAAACACACAATTACGTGAATCAAAACTGAAATAATATTCAGTATCCACCACTGTTCCCTACATCTGTGTGAAACCGGATATTACAAGAACCTAAACTATATAGTACTTAATTTCATAACATGATAACAATAACAACAACGAAAATACCGACGAGTTAATATAATTTCAATTCAGACTCAAATTCGATTATATTATGGCAAAATGATGATTTACCCACAGACTCTCCAAGTAAGTTATGTCCCGTTTCCAAATGAGAAGAGAAACTATCGGATTTTGATTTGATTTCTTCTTTGGATTCGATATAAATTTCATGCATTCTTTATAAACGATATTTGATTTCCTGCTTATAGTTTGTCAAGTTATATCTAGTCGAAAGCAACATCTCAACTCATGATTTTAACAGATAAATAAGATATTTTATAAAAGTATAAATATTTTTATTCAACAATAATAACATGTGACTATCATTTAAACTGGATCTTGATTGGTAAGAACAATTTTTATGTGTAGAAATCATATGACACTACGTTATATTACTTACTGGCACATCGTACATAAGGATCACCGACCAACCCCTTCTTGCATTTACACTTGTTGTCAGCATCATCGCAGAAAGCAGAAGCACCACATTTTCCTCCACAAGGAACTGTTGTAAAGATAATCCATGGGACATTTAATAACATCATAAGGACAGATCAATTCAGTTTGTTAATGGTAGTAGTAGAAAGATTGTACAAAATACAGGTAAGTGAATAGCACGTTCGATTTTAAATTTAGATACAGTAGAGAAAAATGAATTAAATAATGATGGTAGGGGTCTACATTTGGAAGCCTAGGAGGCGACTGGGAAAAATCAAAAGTAATCGGAAGAAATGTTAAAATGCATATAGGGATGTGCATTAGTCCCATAGTTTGATAAATTTCCTGATTTTCATATATATCTGATAATTAAAGTAAATTATGTCTCATAAGTTTCGGTTTCCGTCCATAATAATAAAACAGAAACATGTAAATTAAGGTCGGCTGTGTGACGTTTGAAATATCCATTACAACTGCAAAAGTCAAACGTATTTCGAAATGCTATAGTTGGGGCACTTAAGTTATCGAAATGAATCCAAACAGTAACAGCATTCTCCATTTTCAGGAAGCAACAGTTAAATAATGAAAATTTCATATTTAAAACAATAAAGTTAATCGACGGTTAATTTATGAATAGATATAAGTTATCATAATCGTATAATTGACTTGTATAACTGATATACTTGATAGAAGATGATTACTCACGTTCACATCCAACAGTGGGTACCCCGATATATCCTTTTTTACAGTAGCATTTGTTGTCTTTCTTGTTACAATAAGCGTTCTGTTTACAGGCATCGTCACAAGGCCCTGTAAAATCATTATATCTTAAAACATGTGCTTTTCCCGTTGATGCGTTAAAAATAAGTAGCGGTTTGGAGACAGGAAAAAAGGAAGTGAAATGTTAATGAACTTACCATAGTAAAGGGGGAGTTCTGCCCCTTTGTAAATATTTGTTACAAATGTTTGCCTGAATGAAATAATATGGTTTTGGATATATATATATACGTGTTAACTTCAGACACTATTTGTAAGAAACATCAAGAAGAGGTTACATATTTCCATCAATCCTCATATCACAGTGTTGTTGAAGTATTAAAATATCAAGTAAAGTAAGATATCTAAACTTATTTTAACCCTTGATCTTTTTTCCAATTTTGTGGTATTACATATTCCAACAGAAAAGCTAAAGATTCGAGAGTATTATACTCAGGTATCTTCTCCAAATCTCAATAACTTACTGGCACATCGTTTGTATCCGTTTCCAACATAGCCGTCCTTACAATAGCATTTGTTGTCACGCCCCTTACAGTAGGCATTTTCAACACAGTTTCCTCCGCATGGCACTATAAAGCAAAGACATCATATCATTTCAAAACCAAACATTCTCCTTTTTTCAAGGATATTAGAGATGTAAGTAGCTCTATTTATCATATCGAAATAAAACACATAGAATCATGAAAAGCGTACTTACAATCACAGCCATCCTTAGTTGGGTTTCCTACGTATCCTTCTTTACAATAACATTTATTGTCAGCAGCATTGCAATAAGAGTTCTTCTTACATTTGTCATCACATGGCTCTGTAATTAAAAGGAATAATTCCCAACAATGTTTAACAATACCTAAATAAGGGTTTGAAAGCGTACTTTACTGGTGCTTACAACGAGGCCCTAAATGAATGATTTTTTCGTAGACAAAGTTGTTAATACCGAGGTAGTGGCCAAAGGTTTTTAATTTTTTTTTTTTTTTTTTTTTATTAGAGAAACACACTCTCTTCACGCATCTCTCCATCAGTTTATTTGACTCTCCATAACTTGTATAATCATATCTATATTTCAGACTTTCTATTTGCTTGTTATTATCATTCTTGTTTCAATTTTATAATGAAGATACTAAATTTTTTAATCAACATTAATTTCTCTTGATTGGATAATTTTGATGGGGATACATTAAGCAAGATAATCGAGAAAATCACTTAGACAAATTACGTACTTTTGCATCCTTTTAATGGATCTCCAATAAATCCACTGTTGCATACACATGTATCGTCCGACTTTCTACAGTAGGCATTGGCTTTACATTTCCCTCCGCATGGTTCTGAAAGCAATGCATATATACACTATAAACACTATACAATTGACAACTAAGTTAACATATATTTTGATATTATTGTTGAAACAGTTAGTGACACAAATATTTCATACCTTGATTTTAATATAAACAAAATGCCGATGGTTAGCCTGAAAGTACATATAATTTGATGTTTGATATTAGAAATAGCAAATTTATTAATTCCTATATTTTTTGCATGTTAATGCTGCTGATTAAGGTTTATGTTGTGAAGACGTCTAAATATTCTGAGGATGGATTCAAAGAGCGGAAACTTACTGTCGTCGTTAATTATGGTAACGGTTGTTGTGTCTTTAGGTCCGACAGATCCACCACCAACAACAGATGTCAAAGTTATGGAGAAGCTCTCATCTGGTTCAAATTCCTGTAACGTGTTAACATATATAAATTCAGAGACACTTGATCAACAATAAACAAGGTGTCAACACAATTATAATCCAAACTCAAATTGAACAAAATTACAGCAAAATATAAACAAAAGAAAAATTTACACTAATGAAAAAGTACAAGAACAGTAAGACCATGTGTTTCGGAAGAGTAACCGGTTTCTGCGTCACCAGGAATGAAAATCTTGGTAAGTCAAAGTAAGTAATGTCACGTTCTCAAATGGAAACAAAGTATACAAATTGGAATAAACAGGTATATCGAGATAATGGAAACAGGCCCCTGAATATCGGATTAACTAGGATATAGATTGGGGATGCAGGGATGCTGCTATCCAGAAATGATAAAAAAAATGTCTGTCTGTCATGTTCTTGATTTCCAATTCTGATGGTTTTATGTACGTGGTCAAAATTTCATGTTATTTAAAGACAAGACGTCATTAATCTTTTTGGGAGAGAAATTTGTGGAATTTTCAAGTCCTTTGTGAACTGTTTCGATAAGCTCTTCGATAAATTTAGCCTCGTAAGAAAACAAAAAAAAAGGTCAGCCAACTTAGAGGCACACGTAGATCTCATAGGTATGCCAATAGTCTATTGGAAGAGCTTACCTCCAAACGAGACGACGATGTTGTCAACCAGAAACTCGATCATTCGGAAATCTTTAAGTGTCGTGTGCATCTTGTATAGTTTTCTATATCATACTGATATGATTTATATAACTTTTTTCATTTAAAGATTTTAATTGATCCTATGCATTTTTGTAGACCACTTTTGATTGAAGTCTTGTATGTTACCAGTATCTTATCATACCTGATCATTGATGATTTTAATACTAATGAATTCCACGGAGTCCTTATTTCCAAACTGGAGAGAACCTGTAGTGTAAGTGAAATCAGCTGGACTTGTGGCGGTTATAGAAGCAACAGCAAATGATACTGTGATCGATCCGCATGTTCCTTTCTCTCTGATAACTTTGACTTTTAATGTTCCACTGTTTTCTTTCACAGAGTAGCTTGACTCCGCGAAGGAGACAACACTTGGTTCTGAAAATGAAAATGATTTTGTATTTCTGATAACGTTTGACATTTATAGAAGATTTTTAAAATATGCAAACAAGTGAATAGCACCTTTTAATACAAATTAAGAATTAGATGCAGCAAAGGCATCCTAAGCTGGTTCGTCCTTCTAGGAAATGATAACTTACGATAGGTGTCTTAATTTTTAAATTTAGGAACGACGAAGGAAAATTAAAAATGCTAAAAAAAATATAGAAATATGAAATTTGATTTTACATTTCGCTTACGTATAGAATGTTATTGTGTGAAATGTGATTACATTTTAAACATAGTAATTTGCAACAGTATGAACATATTCCTACTTGAAGGTGATATTTTGTCATAAGGTACATCACTATGTACTTTCATCTTCATTAAGCCTTTAATCTCTCCAAGATATTGCCAATGTTTAAACGTATGGATCCCTAATTATATTTTTAAAAATGTAAACGTCATCTGCTGTTGCCGCGAATGCAGCCATTTCTGCAAGGACGTAAAATACAATGCAATATACAGACACTTACCATAACATTTCTGTGTGGCATCACCAATAAGACCAGCGTTACAACGGCAGGTGTTGGTATGACTGTCACAGTAGGCGTTTGATACACAATTACCCCCACAAGGCACTGCAATCAATATGTGTATCAGCTGTATAAATGATGCTAGTGAGTACAACTGGTAGGAATCATCCTTGTCTACGTTACAAGTTTATTACATACGTTCGAATGAATTTCATTTCAAGTAGTAATATGAAGAGTAAAAAGTTCTTATTTTTTGTGGAATTATATTTTCCACTTTTTTCGAGGATGGAATAGTCTCTGAATAAAAAAAACGGATAAAACTTTATGACTTCTACATTCAAAGCACAAGTTTTGCCTTCAAGTTTGTTGAAATGAAACTGAGAAGGCAATAAACTTTTTGTATATGCTTTCCACGCAAAAGAGTTCGTGCTAGAATATCAAAAATCTAACTACAGTTCCTGTGTGTCGTAAATAAAGTAGGTTATTTCAAATGCGCTGTCATCGTTCGCGTTTGATTGCGCTGAAATTTCATCGCGCTGTATGCACGCTCATAGTATGTTGTGATATTTATTGATTGATTTTTTGTTCGTTACTTACATTCACATCCTCGGTAGGGATCTCCTATATAACCCTCTTTACAGTAACATACAAATTCCTGTACGTTACAAAAAGTGTTTTCTCCACACTTATCCCAGCAAGGATCTGCAGAAAAGAAAACCAAAAATACATATTTACATGTGTCGAAGAAATCATTAAATCATTCTTTTCAGTGTACACGTTTCAGAAGTTACTTGATAACAATATTTGAAAAAAAAAAATGTTTATATTGGAGTAAGCATTAAAGGGCAAGCTAAATAAAATGTGTTTACTTCGCTGTAGACAACAATGGACATGTTTGATGAGAGTTTGTTTACTTTGCCCAGAACAGCCATGCCAAATTTTGATTTATGTTTATATTGGAGTAAGCATTAAAGGGCAAGCTAAATAAAATGTGTTTACTGTAGACAACAATGGACATATTTGATGAAAGTTTGTTAACTTTGCCCAGAACAGCCATGCCAAATTTTGATTTATGTTTATATTGGAGTAAGCATTAAAGGGCAAGCTAAATAAAATGTGTTTACTGTAGACAACAATGGACATATTTGATGAAAGTTTGTTTACTTTGCCCAGAACAACCATGACAAATTTTGATTTAAAAAAATCATCTGCGAGACCTCGCAAGCTCTGAAAAGGCGGTTTGAGAAATTTTCGCTACATAGAATTTCTCGAATCATTTCATATTATACCATGCGAGACCTATCATGTACTACAGTTGTCCAAGTTGAATTGCTATTGATTCGAGTGCACTAAATGAAAACATTATAGATGAAAATAGATGACATCATTTGTTACATTGAAATAACGGTTAACTACATCAATAAAGTTGAAAATCATATTTAATAAAACATGTCATGCCATATCCCTATATAATTAAAATATAATTCAAAGGTAAGAATCCAAACATACTGTCACATGGGTGTGTGCTATGTCCTTTGTAGTTGGGCTTGCATACACATCTTCCGTTAATCAGATCAGCATTTTCACAGCAGTGGGTTTTACCTCCTCCAGAACCACCGTGTGAGGAACCACCGTACACATCACCGCCGACGTCACCTCCGTATAGGGCAGCATCGTAGTGGTCATAATCGGCATCTGTAAAGACATAAACATGTCATTTTACTTTAACACTATTTATGGCATTACGTTATAAAGATACACGGAGGGCAATTTTCTGCTATCACGTAATGGTTTATCTTCTAAAGATCCTTCCCTTCATTGCAACTCTATTGCGTATTGCGTTATAATAAACGGCATATAGCAGGACCAATTGACTTACCATGCATTAACTGACATACAAAATGTCTTCTTATCTACATGGTGCGATCATCATGACCTGGAAGCATACACTCAAATTGGTGTCGATTTCGTTTTCAAATGGAAATGATGTCTGCTTAATATGGAAATGCAAGAATCCTTGGACTATATCTGAATGATATCGAACTCGTTATATTTAAAACGAAATGTTATGTATGAGAATTTGAGAAGTCTATCTTTCATGTATATGAAAAGAATGACGTACACATCAAGTGGAGTAGATAATCGACCGAATATACTGGGAAGCTGAAAATATTCGCGGGTTTTACTTTCACTGTATACGTAGCTATTAACGATTTTTATAATGTACCAGAATCTCAGAAAAAGACTATATATATAAACATACTGTTTTGTTTATTGCTATAGGGGCGTTGCGTAAATTTTGTTAGCTCAAACCGGGACATCCGTAAAATATTAGCCAACAGACATTAAACAATCATTCAGTAAGAGTGAAAATTTCTTAATAATTCCGCTTTGTAGTATATTTACATCTACACGGGTCAAATATTAGAAACAAAACGAAACAGTTCTTTATGAAGGTCTGTTTCCACACTAATTGGATTGGAAATTATCGGACATAAAAAGCATGATTAAAGTTTAAAGGGTTTTGACAATGATTCTGATTTTCGTCTGATAACAATACAACACAGATGACGACGCCACTCAAATATGCCCCGATACCTGTTTCCGGTAGTCGAACGTACTCGTTGCATATGAGTGAGAAAATTAATCAGGTGACCAGTCACGTGGGGCAAGCGATATCAAAGTGTAGAAGGCAGACACTTCTCATAGGATCCTATTTTTTTCACGATGACTTTGATAGAAAGTGCACTATACACATTTTACTAAACACTATATAGCTTTATACAAAGTTGAGCAAATGGTATTGTGAAGACAGAACCAAATTAGTGGGAAATTCACATCGAAGGATCGTGAGTCGGCGATATTCAATCAAACATGTACGTACATCTCCGAATACACAATCGTGGTCAGAACAGCTGTTAGTATTAGGATATAACTTTTTGATATGTGACATTTATACGGGCATTCGATATATTTTTCTGATTTCAGCTCGTCAGTTCCGGTATAGATTAGAATAGGTATAGAACGGTATTGTGAGAGAGGTATTTACACATTTACAATTTTATAAATTACTGATGTCCATATCACGTACGTACTTTGCCTGGTGTAACGGAAATGTTAAGATAGCATTTGCATATACATGTCCAGATTATGATATTTACGTGTGCACAAATGTAAAAGAAAGAATTTCGATAAATAATTTACAATCTAAGGAAGAACGAAACGGCCGCCGAACATGCAAAAACAGTGGACCCTGACATTCCGTTTTGTTTACATTGTGATTAAAACAAGTATAGAAAAAAAACACCATTTAACTATTACACAGGTCACGTCTATGTTCACTTACAAACGTTCAATATCGTTTTAAACCTCTCTTCGTTTGTAGTTAATGTATGACAGCGAAAATTGAAGTTTTAAACTTTTTCTTTTATTAATTTGGTATTAACAACATAGACGTGACATGTGTAATAGTATCTTATTAGGTAAATTTAGGTAAACAGAGTATTACTATCGCCGAAGTGACGTCGGAAGTAAACTATATACCTTCTTGCATCGTTTTAAATTCAAATATGATATTATGAAATATCGTAGCTAATTTGTGTAGAAAATTGCGTTAACTGATTCATACTGACCATGTCCTGAGTTTTTAACGAATTCTCAAATTACTATACAGGACGGGAACAGACGTCACTGTAACATATGGGGTCCATTACGTTAAATTACAAACTGTCCATGACGTTTGTATTTCACGAACTGCTGTGCCTTGGTACAACTTATCCATTCTATGTACATTTAACTTGATCAGGTACCTTCGTTAATCTTTGAAAAGCAAGTTGAAAAACAACATTTTACAACAGGAGACAACTTAAATGTACAATCGTAGCCTTATATACTAAAGTTATACAATGAAGGTGAATATCATATGTTTCTGCATATACATAAAATAAAAATCATTCATTGTAATTAAAAGGGTACTTACATGCGGCAGCTATCAGCACACATATCAAGAGGACAAAGCCTTGGGGTAATTGTCCGATGGCCATTTCTGGGAAATTTTGGAGCCAACTCGATTTTGAGATGGAAATGTTCTTCTTTTATAATAAATGTACACAAGATTTGACCAATCGGGAAGCAGCATCAGCAACATCTGGTAAGGAATGGTAAACTCATGTTGTTTGGGCCGCTTTTTAGAAGTCAAGCGTACTGACTTAACACAGCGATTAGTTCACTAAATGTTTATATGCTAAACAGATATAAACAGATGACCTAAACATTTACGAAACATGTTCAATCGGTTTAAGCTTCTTTGAAGTAGACCAGATGGAGTATTTGTTCTCGTGTTAATACTCCTGAATTACTAACAACAATGGCAAATGCATTTACCGATAACTATCTCAAGTATTTTGCTTAGATGGCACAACGACAAAATAATTATACCTTTTACCAAAATAATACATCCTAATTTAAATGAAACAAAAAATTAATAGGTATTAGCGAATATGTAAAGTGTCTCGTCATATTCACAGTTATATCATATGTATGGATTATATTCAGTTGATATTGTTGCTAATTGCTATGTATCAATACTACATTGAAATATTATCATTTGAATGATTGATTTGTTCAACTGGAAGGGAAAAATCAAGATACAGATGTTGTACAAAGATACAAATATGAAAAACACATATTTCAATACTTTAGACTAACATACAGTCAAGACAATGGTATTGTTGTTTTATCCTTCTGAGACTCGTTAGTGATACTACGAGGCTATATTGTTGAAACCAAACAGAAGACTGAGAAAATCCATATTAGTCAATTTAATTGTCAAAAACTGGGAAGTGCACTAAGCAAACATTTAATCAATTTACTAAATTTCCGTATTGAATTTCTTCAAAACGGATGAGGTACATGTATATATGTTATAACATGCAAAAATATAAGCTAAACACAGTCGTTTTAATCTGACAACTGGTCACTTTCCAGAAGGTTGATACCAATTCTAAGTTCTTATTTGTAACAATATTCATTAGTTATGGAATTCGTAACATTTCATTTGTTTCCCTCCCTGCTTATTTCATAAGAAATTAATTATTTACGTTTTCAAAATGTGATTTTGTATATGCTTGAGATACTAAAAATAATAAATATCAGATAATGTAGTTTGTATTCAACCTATTATCTCATATCTCCTTATCTAGTGGACATCATAAGGTGTTTATTTATTCTTGCATACGTTTCGATAACAAGATATTTATGTGAGGCAAATTCACTGGCATACTCTCCCTCCAAATATCACAATTATACATGGATAGGGATTTATACACTCAACAAAATCATAATATTCCAATAAATATTGCTCATAATATCATTCATCCAAAACTTAATGAAGATTTCTAGTATGACATCGTACAAGTCATGATGTCCTCCTGAATGCATCTTCACTGAAAATCGACATTTTAACACGAAATAGATATCGCATTTCCCTGCTAATAGATAACGATTTAACTTAACTACCCTGCTCGATTATAAAAAAAATGGCAAAACTCCTTTGCATCAACAAGTTAGGGTTTTTTTGCCTTTTATATAAGTGTATAATAGTGTATATGTATAGAAGGCTTGCTAAAATGGATTAAAATTCTGGATCCTGTAAAAATTTACCAATAGTTTGTTAGAGGTATATGTTTCAAAATACATAGCTTATATCCTACTTTCACAACTCATGGTATGCATATGTCGTAATTGATGCTAACGTTTGTTTCCAACATCACGATTTCTATGAAAGATGTCTCGCCATTTTCCAAGATATAGATTTTCTTTTATTTTTATTGGTGTTTACTACTTTCTCTTTAAATATGTAATAGACGAAAATATTAAAACGATTCAACAGCCCACGGTTTTTAGAATCACTGACGTGTAGTCAAAATTCAATTGGTATTAGATGCTATTCACTTAGTGTTTTTACCATCCGTTCCCTGTTTGATTCATTATCATTAAATATGTTATTATTTGCCCTATTTCAAAAAAGGATGATTGCTCAGTGTATTCAATACAATCAGATATTCTGTGTGAGACAATTATGCTGGTTTGTTATGAAATGTTGTCTGTGGTTTTTCATGACATTAAGGGTCGTAACTATTGATTCTGAGTAGAATTGATTTATAATGAAGATTATGAGGTTAGGACATAATCTACTTCCTTGTGCGACATGAAGTCGGGCTTGTTTGGTAATCGATAGTGTGATTTTTGATGTTATTGGCGTTTACATTTGTCACATTTGGGAACGTGGCATTACAGTTTTTACATGAATTGACCACATCATTCCGTCTTTCTTTATTTCTGTTTATATGTTTTGCCTTCGTTTTATCGAAATCGAGTTTCAATTAAGATTGTCTTTACATGTCGGTCTTTCCTTTGTTGATTTCTAACAATAATAGCTGTCCCTTACTGGTTTTTAATTCAAGCATAGCCTTGTAAGCATTTCAGAAGCACAAACGATATGAACGGAATGTTTTCTATCATACCGTAAAACATCATTTATCAACATCCTCGTTCAATTATTTTGTTATTGAAGTAAAACTGTTTCAATAAATATTTCATGAAATGATGACAGTCGCAATAAGTGAATGTCTCTCACTGCAAGATGTTGTTAAGCTGTTTCAGTCTATTGCTTCGAGGTTTGTTATATCAGATACGATTAGATCGATTTACTTCGAAAATCATCTTTAATCGATGATATGTTTAGGGATTGGTTGCGTATATGTTATGGATAGGTACAATAAGGTAAACACCAAATTGAAGCAATAGACTGATTAAATATTTTCTGTCCTGCAATGTACATTTTATTCAGAATGAATGTTAAGGAGTGTTCATGTATCCATTTTCATTAAACATTATGATAATTCTGTACTTTCATATCATATGAACTTCTATCATCATTTTCAAAAGAATGTGTAGCTTGAAATCTAAAATAGAAACGAAAAACAGATGAGCTTTCCTCGATCCTGATGTTAAACCCATACTTCTTGATTTACACGACATGTATGCAGATTAAGCATCCAATGACCTTATTCTTCCTTGCAGACATTATTACATTTTCTGTATACAAAAAAAAGTCTGGGATTGCTTGATAATAAAAGGAACGTCACCTATACATTATGTTATTTTTCAAAAGACGAAATACTGGCTAATGATGCTTCGGTATTACTATCATTTAGATTGCCTATACGTGTTACGTATTTCCTCCGTTTATACTGGATTCCTAAACTTCATACAAATCCATATTATTAGTAAAGTATTGCTTATTGTGATACTATATCTTCTCAAAATCTTTTCTCCTTCAAGAACATTGGATTTTATCATCCTGTTCATCACTCAAATCTAAACTGAAAAAAGTCTTCGTTCTCTTTTGATCAACGCTTTCTTTTCCAAAAAAGGAAAAAGATTGTACAAATACATGGTTGTGAACTTTTCTGAAGCGAATTTAGTGAAAAATACGTCCAAATCAAAGAAGAAATATATGAAGGAAGAGATCATAAAAAAGATCGAGGTTTTGGTTGACAACATATTCGTTGAGTTTGGTGATAAGAACTTCCAACTACCAGCTGTAGCCTTCTGTTAGCTGACTTGTTTTTGTTTTCATACGAGGCTGAATTAATCACAGAGCTCATCAAATCAGGTCACAAAGACCTTGCAAAGTTGTTTATTTTCACTTATTGATCACGTTCATCGTATATACCCAACATAATTAGGAATCAAAGATATGACTCTTCTACAGCAGTCTCTTATCTCGATCATTTCCTACATCGACATGGACAGCTTTCCACCAAGCTGTAATGGTTTCAATTTCCCTTCTGTGGATTTTCCATTTTTGGATAGCAACATCCCATTATCCCGTACCTATGTTGTTTAGATATCGCAGATGATTCCACGTTTAATAGCCTATTCCCATTTTCATGAATTTCTTGCAAGAAGTCGTCAATGTACGACTGGAGTTCAAAAGGTGTAGGCTAATGAAAATATGGGGAAGTCTTATGATAGCTGTAGAGAACTCATTGCGATATGAGGGAGGACGTATATGATGCTCGTAAGTTTGCCTGTTGGTTCCGTTTTTGTATACGTTGTTGAAATTTGAGAATGTGACACTACTAACTCGGATTAAATGGAACATCTTGGTCTTCATCTCTTTGTTTATTATTATCAGTCGCCTTGTCAGTCTTTTTTAAAAAAAATTTTAATGTTTTGCCCAAGTTTGGTTGATTTTGAGTATGGATTATGTTTCCATGTTTTGTTTATTTTTTCTTTCCCTCTTTACTTTTGTTTAATATGTTTGCGGTGAATTCGACCATGTTATATTTTCGCATGTATGTCACTTATCCAGTAAACTTAAGATCGCTTCTCATATGCTTACATCATGAAATTGATTGTGAAGTCATAATATGGACCATGAAATTACGTGAGAGGGTGAGAAAACAACATACGACCTGGTACTAAAATTTTATAACATGAAAGTATGTAGTTATAAAAAGAATGTAAGAAATATATGTCACAAGTTAGAAATAATAATAAACTTTATTTATTTTGCAACTGCGAAGCAAGTTTTTCCAACTTCTATTAATCATTTTTGTTGGCAAGGATGTAAGCGCGAGCGGGGTCTTAGTGTTGGAGAAAGTCGGAGTACCCGAGGAAAACCCACGTGCTTAAAATATATTAAATTTACAATAAGTAACGATATCCATTAAGACTATTGGTGCTAAAATAATGTTAGGGAATGATGATTGAACAGTTAGCCTAGCTGACCAGTTTTTTTACAAAGAAATCAAGGAATTATAAAAATAAAAAAAAAACACACAAAAAAAAAATATATGATTGTATTTTTAGTGATGACATAATGTTCTCCGATTTTCCTGAAAAAAAGCAGATGGAACGAAGATGGAATAAGTCAGTTTTCCATAAAACATTAGTATATTTTTAGTTTTTTACTCTAATTTGGCATATAACAATTTTAGGTGATTTTTACTGGCGTCTTCTTGTCTAGCGTAACGTCAAACGTTCTGACTCGAAAGATTCCCTTGATATTTGCCGAACTATTTCATGACTGGATCTTTTTGTTTTTAAGAGAATTTAACGGTTTACCGTTAAATATCATACTATATATATGTTATTATATTTGTTAGGCTCTGTGAAATGGGCATGTCAACATCAAATGATATATTTTTAAAACTTCATATCAAAGTCATACTTTTTATCAATAAGTTAATCATGCCCGCGTTTTCTCAGTTAGTGAACATTACATGTATGTCCTGTGCACTTACGTCAGTATTATTACAAGTATAATTTTAATAATTGCTGGCGTTATATATTATTTCAAATTCACGCTTAGCAAAGATCATGAAACTTGAATTTTCTCATCTTCCTTCGTTGATTGTGTTACGATGTCCAATAAATTAACAGAGTATAAAGAAATGTTGGTCTGAAGTTTCTAGATTTGTATTACCTGTCTTTACCCAGTTTGATATGTGTGTTATTTGTACAATTTTGTATGTATGTAATTAATATACATTGCGATCTAGTTGCTCATATAACGTAATTTGTCAATTAGCCTTTATAATCATGTCGAGAATCTCCAGTTGTTCATCAGTACAGCTTCCAAACTTCCTTTTCAGGGAATGTCGTGGAGGTGTAATGGTGAGGCATTTTGGAATATCTTGGCTAGGCAATTTGTTTCCATAGATTGTGAGTTCGAGATCCGGAGTGATCATTATAACATATTACGTAAATTTACTTCCTAAAATTACAAATGGAAACCACATATATATATGTAAAAAAGAAAGGTTCATGATAATATATTTCGCAAATATGCTTACTAGAATAACAAATGGACACCACAGTCAGATTCACCTTGGAGGATTTATTCATTAAAAACAATTATCTTACAGTACTTTTACTTTCAAAATAGTTACATGAAACCAAAAATCTTGAAAGAGCTAGGCAGACATAAGTTGTATACAAGGTTCCTGTACTTACAGAGACTCTCAGTCACTGACACGGCGCAGTCTGTGTTGTCCTTTTTCTTCTGCATTGATGTTTGTTGTTTCAAATTTAATTAGGACTTGTTTAATATATTCTGATTGGGTTACCAAACGAAAAGATGACACGTTTTCAACAATTCCAATCGGAGATTCTATTATGCTTCACATTCGTGAAAAATATAGATACTTTGTCATAATCGTGAAATATATATATTGGACAGAAATCCATGAAATCACATTTATTTTCTTTGAGTGGAATACAATTAAGTCAGTTCTACACATTCCATTTGTACTAGTTTTTTTTTATTTAAAATAATGACAAAGACATACAAATTTATAAAATGCGCCATAATACCTAGCTGTTCCCCAATGAATTGACAGGGTCGTATAGTAATGACAATGCTGAGGCAATATATATTACATGTAAAGCAGATCTTAATAGGATTCTCTCCTGTGTCCGGCCATATTCGTATCTTTAAAAAACAGACCAGAAACATTATCACTATTCCTTGACATATGTCTGGGTTTTTTAAAATCAATTAATGTCCGTGTGCATTTTAAGAATGGAATGAGTAATCAGCAACAAATGTTTAAAACTGTAAAATAAAACAACAATTAAAGTATTTGTGACTGAAGACATTATAAACACGTCCTTGTTAATATAAAAAATGAAGTAATATATGCATACTTTCACACACCTATCATTTATCACGACAACAAGCTACTTTCTTACTTTCATTTGATATTATTTTGTAGGTAAACGCCGTGGGCGATTGAGTGAACAACGTCATAGCTGCATCCGGCTTGTGTTTAACGGTGTCGACATACTGTCGCCCTGAACAAAAAGTTCTATATTCATAGGAAAAAGTTAGGTGATTCTTAGAAATACATCTAAACATAATTACATTATAGGTGCACTTGCAACTGTTAAACATTTGTTGATAATTAAATCGTTTACATTCATTTTATTAATTTTGATCACGACGTTTGCAGCATTGCCTTTCTATGTAGAATGAGACCGATTCAATGTATATCGTATAAAGAACAAACATATACATAAAGTAGGTTATCGCTGCTGCTAAATATCTAAACAAATGACTTAGGCATTTGTATCCAGATAAAATATTTACCTGTGCTTTGCTTTCAAACCTATGAATTAAATAAATGCCCATCCTAGTTACTGATTAACATATATGAAACTGTTAAACAATAATATCTCATAACATTCGACTCGTGAAAAAAAATCGTTTTAAAAATACGATTTCGATAGTTCAAGTGTTAAAAGTTATCTTTGTTCATCTAGCGTATGGCGTGATCTACATTCAAAATACACAACCTATCAACGCGTAGTGACAATAAGATATATACATTTTCTGGTGTGTTCGTGACGAAGCTTATTTACAGATCATAAGATATCGATACTTTCAAAATTTGAGACAGGCCCGAATTATATCTATGTATCATAATAGATAAGTGCATATACAAGATATTTCCATCTTTGTATGATCTACTGTAAACGATGAACTGAGACCTAATGAAGTGCATGTATCAATGTATTAGGAAGAAAATACAAAGAATAAAATCGTAGTAACAATTTAGAATACCATACTCATGCTAATGTTATCCAGTTGAACAGTGCTCACTTTTAAAAAAAATTTCTCCACATAAACGTACTGATGTGTATTCTATATAATACATATAAATGTCTGAAACTAGTAACCAGGATGTTGATTCACAAGCGGTCTATAAATATCTAAAAATAGTAATCAGGATAGCTATGCACAAATGAATCTGTTTTAAATTAGACCCATTAATATCCTGTCAGTTTGAAATATTTCAGTCCTATGTTCTGAAGCTCTACTTTGTTAATACACATTTGTTTCTGCTTATAGGACACACTTGACACATTACTGAATGCTCACTCACAGTCTAAATGCGCTAACATAAAAAAACTACCTCATATAACAACGATTCCCCTATTATTTTTGTGACTTATCTGATAACTTTAACACTATAACTTTAGATGTGAAGAAATTGACGTATTTTGACAATTTTCTCTCCTTTCCATATATTGTTGTATTGTTTTGTATGACGTCTGCACTTGCAAATATGTCATCATTGGTGCTAGTGTCCAAAATGACACCTGCCTGCAAAGGTAAGACTCCGGAATTCGTGATGACTATTAGGTAAATTGTTATTAAAAAATCTCGATTTTGTAAATTATTTACAAGTGAAGATCCTATCTGTTTCGTTAGTGATCGAGAAGAGGAAGAGCTACCCGCCTTCGAAAACCATTTCGTTGATTTTTGATTCGTTATTGGGGAATTCACATACATCGGTCATGGCTAGTGAGTTTACCGCATTATGTCCTCACTAAGGATAGGTTTACTATCCATCCATTCGCAGGTTACAGGCGACCTGGCAATCACAGGTTAACATCATTATCATATTGACGTGTTTTCCTTTGTATTGCCAATAACGGATGTCCTCGTCATCCAACGAATTAAATGAGTCTAGGTTTTATATAGACACATAAGCGATGAGTCCTTCTCTATACATCAAAAATATAATTGTATATCCGCCCAAAACTCACGTATTTGTAAGTGAAATTAGCATGTGTTCACACACAAGAAAACTGAAACAATTAGCCCCGAGAGGCGGATATGTATGGATATAAAAGGAACACTTTATACCGACACCTTTACTGAATCCTGCATCAACATGTCGTTGATATTTCTGTGTCTGACACTTGGTGTACGCCTGATATTAGCACGTTATCAACATCAGGAAATGTGCACTGATACGGGTATAGAGCATGCATTTACTGTCATAGATTATACCTGGCCAAATGCCACTGCTCGCGACGAAGCAATCAAGAATGAAGAATATATCCAGCACAACAACATCATCAGTGGAATGAACGTCTATGAGGACTCGGTCTTCGTCACTGTACCACGATGGCGCCGTGGAGTGCCATCGACACTTAACAAGGTCATCATGAAAGACAATGTTTCAATTCTACAACCGTACCCTGATTGGGAGTCGCAGAAAATCGGCAATTGTAATTCTTTTCAATTTGTTCAAAGTATTGCCATCGACCCTAATACTGGATGGATGTGGATCATTGATACCGGAAGGACGAACTTTTTTGCAATTGATGGAACTGAAACCAAGAATCTCTGCCCAGCAAAGATTGTTATTTACGATATTGCTAAAAATAAGGAAATCATGCGACATATATTCCCTAATGATGTCGCTAATAGAACGAGGACGTTTCTGAATGACATTGTCGTTCAGTATAAAGGGAATAAAGCTCGATATGCCTACATCACGGACGATTTCGAAGAACGTTTAATTGTTTTCGATAAGAAAAGAAATTCGTCTCATTTCTACTCACATCCACCTTCAATGAAGCCGGAACCCGGCAACGGAAATATTACTGTATTGGGTGAAACTATAGAGGTCTCTGATGGAATAAACGGAATAGCATTATCTTCCGATATGAAATACCTTTACTATGGTCAACTTTCCGGCTTCTCTATCTACCAAATACCTACGAAGGTTGTAAGGAAACCTGGAAAAAATTTTAATAAATCTGTCCGAAGGGTTGGTACCAAGCCGGCGCATGCAGCAGGAATGGTATACAGCAAGGACAATATTCTTTACTTCGGCGGACTCGAAGACAACGCTGTGTATAGATGGGATGTGGAAAAGGACAAGAGGAAGCAGAAAAAATCATTCCGCAAAGTGGAAATGAAAACCGTGAACAAATTCATTCAGAACGATACATTAATAAATTTTGTGGATATACTCAATTTTGATCAGAAAGGAAATCTTTGGTTCTCAGTCAACAAACTGCACAAATATTTCCTCGGGACGATGGATTTTTCAGGAGAAAGCGGCCCAAACGTGCTAATTTGGAAAGTATGTGCAGGAACGACTGGGTATTTAGATCGAAGATCCCAACAAAAAGGCTACTACTAACAGATTTCTACAAATCTGACATCCTACTATACAACAGTCGTAAATTATCTTACCATTTTTTGGTGTAATTATTAATGTTAATCATAAATATATAGAGTTGAACCTCGTTATCTCGGAGTCGGCGGGACCATGGGAGAACTTTGACTTATTAGAGTATTCAATTAAAGTAAAATCCAATATTTAGGGTAAAGTTTGGACCGACAAAATACTTCTCCAGGATATTCGAGTTATTACAGCTTACAAGGTTCAGCTGTATTTCATCTCGAAGGTGTACTATTTTAAACCTGCTATGTATCAAGCACGACAGACATTTTAAAGTGCCTACGTTACCTGTATTGTTCGTTAGATGTAGTTCATTTAAGTATACAACAGGAGTAACACCGACGCTGCGGACAAAATTATTTGTCAAATGTTAACAAGTTTAAATGTTCAGTTCGTTTATTGACACATCAAAAAGCTCACATACTGAACAACGATTACAGAACAATTCAAACATCTTACATGTGAATCCGTTTGAAGTTTTAAAACTTTTTCATTCGGCCTATCACAGTCAAATATATGATTTTGTATATATGTGTAAATAATTATTTGGATAAGAAATGTATTATATGTCAGAATCGTTAAATAAGAATATATGTATGTTGATACATATTGCACGTGTATCATACACATTTCGTGTTTTTTAAGAGAAGACATTATGAATATATAGTATATATATATATATATAGGGACATTGCTTCACGAGGTCCTTGTGACTCAAAATAAAGCTGTTTATAATACATGATACTCACATTCTCTGTAATTATTTGAAAAATCTTACTCAGAGGTTTGTTTTGGCCGGAGGAAGGAGACATGTGGTGGGTTGAAGGATGATCATTCAGAACAATGAACAATTGAACAATTATCGTCAGATATTCATGCTGGGAACAATAATGTTGGGACTATCCCAGCTCAGGTACTGAACAACATATCAATAAAAGTGTTTCGAACACCATCGATCATTCTTCTCAGTACCATTGTCATTGAAAAATAGTTATAACGGAAGTAACATAAATACATGTAAATCAAGAACACGAGTATATGGAATTAAACATGAAACAGTTAAAAACATCCACAGGAATACTATAGACATGATGACAGGTTCATGAAGAAAATGGTGATACATTGTCAGAGTGCACATACATATGTTTTCTCGTCAATCAAACGCAAGGAAACATTTTGCAATAATTTTATAATGTAAAATATCCAGAAATATGTTCACTTCCGCACCAATTAATTCAAAAATCTCTTTGTACGAAACAAGCAAGTGAATAACACATTTCAAAGTACAAGACAAGTTAAGACCGGGTAATTCCTGACGATTAAGTGTTTTCTTTTTCGTCACCCGCCGTATAAACCTTGGTAAATACATATGATATAAAGTTCTCAAATAAGAACAAGTGATACAACAAAGGAACCAACAGGCAAATTAACGAGTATCAAGTATGTCCAGATTTATATCGCACACAAAAATAAAATATATCTTAATGATATTTGATATTTCATCAACATATGTCTGACAGTTGTGTTTTTTATAATGTCTTTTGGTTTCGTTTGTTCGTGGAGTTTATTTGCTCGTAAATGACCAGGGTCATTATGAGGCCTATTTGATAAGGCTGGTGACTATCTTATTACTGACCATTATTCGTCTAGTGTGGCACAGACCAATTGGTTTTCATGGCAGGAAAGACTATTTCACAAAGTCACGTAAAGAAGTAAGTAAAAGTCTCATCTAATTGAATATTGATTACTATTGATTTTGGTATTTTGTGAGTTTATAAATTAAGAAAGCTCTATAATCCTGCTCCAAGCTGTTTCCTGAACATACGTAACATGTATTGAGTTCAACGGACCAGTAAATAGTGCTTAGCTACAGATTTACATAAACGGCTACAGTGTTCGCTTGATTAAGAAACGTCTGTAGGGATACACGCGTAATTTAAGGCGTTTAGGATAAACAAGTCATGTGATAATTCCACGTAGACCAACTGTTTCTATATAAAGACATCGATATATGTTCAGTATGATTATTTTTTGCGGATGACGGTGACTGCTTAGTTCCAACTGACGCGTACGAGAATATGTTCTAGAAAATAGGCGCGGCTAGTTTCATAATGGTGACTGTGTATCTGCCAGTATATTGCAGTACAATAGGAGAATTATATCTCCTATTTTACTTCTGATTATTCTTTAATGTTCGAATTTCTCGTGAATGATAATCAAACTGTTATATTCAGATTCACAAGATTAAAATTTTTCATTTCCAGAACTTTAAGCATCAGAGAACAATCGATGCAGCCTCAACTTCGGTATTTTAATAGTGTTACAATATCATATACTTGGATCAGTAAATTCCTGAAGTTTCTCACAGGTCGATTGTAACATTACAAAAGAGAGAGATTGAGAATGTTTCTATTGTATATTTTATATTCCTATGATACAAAACTGTTTTCACGAATCTTAGGGAAAGTATCCATAAATGTCGCGATTAACAAAATCTTTTGTGTGTCCATTCCCTTCTAAAAGTCATAGCAAACATAGCAATTAAAAATAATGTGAACATATAACGTTGAGTTAACCTTACATTTTTTTGTATGCGTTGTATTGTATAATAGTTTACGAGATGGTCACCGAAGCACCATGCCACACAAAGGAGATATGGTACTTCTACAATAAACTATATTATCGCGCTTTTATACGCATCTGCTAGAGCAAATGAAACCATTATTGCTTAAGAAAGTTTAACGACTGGCAAGACATATATCGCTCACACTTTATTATCATTTTGTCTACTTATTATAGATTTCAAAGTATAGAAAAGTCATAAAAACAACATCAAAAACCATCATGTAAGCATAAAGGGATAATAAGACCTTGTGTTCCGGAAGACCAACGGCGACATCCGCTATGCAAAAATTGGTCAATTCAAGTAAGAAATGTCACGGTATGGTATATACCAACGGAAGCAGCAACCAAATTAATGAGCATCAAATACATCCAGCTTCATATCGCAAAAAGATATAAAATATTTCTCAATGATATCACTAAAGTGAACAGGAACTTCTTGCCTAAAACAAATAATGATAACTAAACAGGTTGTTGCCGTGGTTCATGTTTTTAAAGCCTTCCATTTATGCTATTTTGGCAGTAAAAAGCATTATAGTCTTTAATACTTTAAACATTGTATGCATATATAAATACATGACATAGACACAATATTGAAAAGTTATAAGGTTTGCTAGTGGCATGTTACTGGTCCATTATATAATGTATTATCAATGATAGGTACTCTATGCAGCTACATAATTACATACGTGATCTAGATGGTAAAAGGGCTTTAAAACCAAAAACGGATGAATAAATTTATCAATGAGGAAATACATCTAGGACAAAAAGATAAATGATCGATTACCAGGTTTTGTTTTCGTACAAGGCTGCATCTATCGTTGAACTTATCAAAACAGCTCACAAAGACCTTGCACAGACTTTCGATCTCACTTTCTCATAAATTATTGACGTCTTGTCTCTAAATAACATGACACTTATTGACTTTTTCCGTCGTACATACCCACCAGAACTGGAAATCAAGGGCACGAAATACTTGTTTACATCAGCGGCTTATCTCGATTTTTTCTACAACGAAACTGCAAACACCATACGAGGATACCTGTGTATGTAACGGATATATAGGATCGTCATTAAAAAAATGCAGAAGCAAGTTTTGAAAAAGGTAACTACAATGGCGTGGCATGTTTTGTCATGTCATGAATATTTTGTACTATCATTACTTAAACGCCATAAATAAGTCATGCCTGTATCAAGTCAAACGGCAGTGAAAAACCTCCCAACCAGGGTAAATAAGGTACATAGGAACGTTTATTTGAAACTCCGCTTATCATATAGAAATATGAAATAATAACACCTGAATTATTATACAATAGTTAGAGTTACAGCAGAGCCAAACATTGAGTAAAATTGCAGCATACAACTACGTCGTCCTTCTACGACTGGTCAGTGCTGCTAAATGCCTAAGTTTTGAAGTCTGGAAGGCGACTAAGTAAAATCCGAAATGATCGAAGGAAAAGTCAATTTAGACCAAAAGAAAACAATATCACTCGACAAATGAATGGAAATTGTCCGAAATAGTTTGTATGGGGTAATATATAATACATTTTCAAATATCGGATATGTTTTTAGTTTTTGTTTTGTTTTGCTTTTTGTCAGAATAAGGATGTACACTACAAAAAGAATAGTAAGACAGGGATTTTATTCATATCAGAATTATATCTGTATAGATATGATATGTATAGTTTGAATTGAAGGATGTAATGTTAACGTCGCGTCTATTTTTAGATGTAGAATATTACAGGTAACGCATTGTGTTTCGCTAAGTAAGTATTTATCATTTACATCACAGTGCCACGTGGAGGTAGGTTATTTGAAGGACTTGTGGGATATGAATGCTTAAAGCCGTTATCTGTAGGAGTATGGATGTATAACATAAACGTTGGGATATGAATGCTTAATGTTAAAGACGTTATCTGTAGGAGTATGGATGTATAACATAAAAGTTGAGAATGAATGCTTAATGTTAAAGCCGTTATCTGTAGGAGTATGGATGTATAACATAAAAGTTGGGATATGAATGCTTAATGTTAAAGCCGTTATCTGTAGGAGTATGGATGTATAACATAAAAGTTGAGAATGAATGCTTAATGTTAAAGCCGTTATCTGTATGAGTATGGATGTATAACATAAAAGTTGGGATATGAATGCTTAATGTTAAAGCCGTTATCTGTAGGAGTATGGATGTATAACATAAAAGTTGGGATATGAATGCTTAATGTTAAAGCCGTTATCTGTAGGAGTATGGATGTATAACATAAAAGTTGGGATATGAATGCTTAATGTTAAAGCCGTTATCTGTAGGAGTATGGATGTATAACATAAAAGTTGGGGTA